ATACTCCATAGAGTCAAGACCAGGACTGGGGCCCAAGCAGCCTCCCATCCAATGGGTACCGGGGACGTTTTCCCCGGGAGTAAAGCGACCGGAGCGTGAAGCTAACCACTCATTTTAATCCAGTGCAGAGGTAAAAAATGGTGAAGCTTAGTACCACTCCCCCATACGTCTTCATGGCGCGATACTACATTAAAGACGGGGACAATTTTACCTCAGCCGACATGAAAATAGTGGGATGTAGCGTTGTAAGTAAGCAACTGGCATATATGATAACGAGATATTGCTTTGTCTTTGATGATCACCCTGTTACGATATTGCAGATCGCTTTTCTTGTTGCGTGGCCGTATGGCGGGTGGGGGAAGAAAGTGGAAACGTGTGTTAAGAGGACGCTACAAGAACAGAACAAGAGGAACGGAAATTGCTGTGGCCTATTCTAAACTTAAGTTCTGTAAGCTTAATAGTTCTATTATGTAGTCTGTGTGAGGGATGTTTCTTACAGCATCTAATTTGGTATCTAAAAAGGGTGACGGGCCGCTGTTTCGCACGGTAAGTTTATTCACTTCCCCTGTTAATGTCCTGAAGATGAACGTTTCCTGGCACAGGACGCTGCGCTAATTCATCGCACCGACATCTCGGAAGAACGTGGTGCCTCCATCATTATGACTAGTGACGCCGTGCACACTGATCGATACGTACCAATGTTTCAGAGAAACCTGTCGCCCCCCTACCCCCCAAAAACATCACGGAAGGACACTTGTGATGCCTTGTAGATTGGTAGACAGACAAGCCTACGTATGTTTCGAAAAAACGTACTGGCTCCATCTTCAGTACAGAAGCAATGAAATGTTGTAACCACCTACAAGAGGCTACATGACCCATTGAACCATAACCAGGATTAATGAAACAATTTGACTCTGGCTTGGAACTAGAGAAATCCAGTCAAGTATTTTACGTGTAATTTGTCTAAAAACGGTGTAAGGATGATTATGATGATGATGATAAGCTATCCCTGTAACAGGCCGTGGAGGCCCATAGGGTTTTGAGACGTCGAGGGGTCCTACATTTTCTAGACAATCGGCTCACAGATGACGGTGAGTTTGTCAGCCTTACGCAACGGCCGCGCTTTACCCCCAAGAAGATTCCTGGTACTTATTTTCTGTTAGAGGCTGAGTCGACCCCAGGGGCCATAGTGCGGCTGGAAGGATTAGTTCAACTGAAAAAAATCCAATGACATCATCGGGAATCGAAACCGCGACTTTCCGGCTTGTAGCATGGTGCCCCAACCAACTACGCTACCGCGTGCCCCACTCAAGTAAACAATAATAATTTGTAATTGAATGTAGTTATCAAATTAATTAGAAACCTTAACTGTAAAATGCAAAACAAGGTTCGACCCGAATGCTGCTGCAACTGAAGAACTTAACAGACCTGCGCAGTTACCTGATAGCAGAAACCTATTGAGGTATGATTAAAGCACGACAGACCACTGTAGGTCGCGATGCAAGGGCCGAGAAGGCCTGCCCCTCATACATTCATTCAATGTATGATTACATTACCACACTCAAGTGTTGGTAATTATAGTTAAGTTTTCTAGGCCCTTTTGAGGTTGAAAGTGCTCTTGCAAAATTGGGAAGGTATAAATCGTCAGGTAGTGATCAAATTCCGGCAGAATTCAAGCAGGAGGCGAAATATTACGTTCTAAGATCCACAATCTAATTACTTCTATTTTGCATAAGGAAAAATTGCCTGATCAGTGGAAGGAGTCTATTATTGTACCAGTTCACAAGAAGGGTGATAAGATTGACTGTAGTAATTATCGGGGATATCACTGCNGCAGAGGAATATCCTACACGAAATAAGAAAACGGAAGGCTAATTGGATTGGTCATATCTTACGCGGTAACTGCCTTCTAAAAGAAGTTATTGAAGGAAAGATAGAGGGGCGGATAGAAGTGACCAGAAGACGTAAGAAGATGCTGGATGACCTTCGGGACAGAAGAGGATACTGTCATTTGAAGGAGAAAGCTCTAGATCGCATTAAGTGGAGGAACTGCTTTGGAAGAGACTGTGGACCGGACCTGTCGTCTGACAGATTACTGATGATGATGAAGATGATTCTTCTCTCAAGGTTAAGTCCATATATAGATTAAATTATTGGGGATCATCAGTGTGGGTTTCGACGTAACAGATCAACTACAGATCAGATCTTTTGCATTCGACAGATACTGGGGGAAAAAAAAAATGGGAGTACAATGAGACAGTACATCAGCTATTCATAAACTTCAAGAAAGCCTATGATTCCGTTAGGTTGATTAAAATGTGTTTCAACGAAACGTATAATGAAGTCCGTACAGGTAAACATTTGTCTGTTAATTTTCCTATTCAGAATGGTCTAAAACAAGGAGACGCTTTATCGCCACTGCTTTTCAATTATGCTTTAGAATATGCCATTAGGAAAGTCCAGGAAAACCAGGTGGGACTGAAACTAAACGGGACACATCAGCTGTTGGTCTATGCTGATGATGTGATCTACTGGGTGATAATGTAGATACCATAAAGAGAAACACAAACTTTAATTGACGCAAGTAAAGAGGTTAGTCTTGAAGTAAAGGGTTAAAATGCCGTATCGGACAGCCGTCTGAAAAGGGTGCAGTTCCATTAGTTACAACTGCGCAAAGTCTCTCTGCGCCGGCTGAATGGGAAGTGCGATAATACGTTATGTTATCGGTCAAGAACAACGCCATTTGACAGCCCTGATAGCGATTCGCGCTTACACAAGTATCGGCACCACATCACTGCATGGGTATTTTCGGAACAATAACATAAATGTGACAAACACTACAGCCGATCCAGCATATGGGGTGAAGGTAAAGTCGTCCCTGTGCTCAGTTAAATAAGCACCACGCCATGAAGACATGTAGGGGCGTGGAGGTATGGCTTCATCATTCTTAACCTCAGCACTAAATGGAGGCAAATCGTTAGCTTCAAGCTCCTGCCGCTTTATCCGCGGGGAAGAGTCCCCAGTACCCGTAGGAGGCTAAGTGGCCTCTGAGCCGGTTTGAGTGGTGCAGAGAAGAGAAAAATCCCTTGCCCTGCCGGAAACCCAATTTCGGCCGTCGAGCCTTTAGGGACTGAGGCTTGCCGAGTGAGCTACTCCGGTTCCCAGGAAGTGGGGTAGTCTGCTTATACTGCTGTCTTTTAACTCTTTAGAGCCCAGTGGTTACTACATGTACCACCCGCTTTAACATACCAAAACTATGCATTCTGTCCAAAGTGTTTTTGTGTTCCGTATGGTTTTCACAGCAAAAAGCGTTATTTTTCCTAATCAGCATTAACCGGTTGGTCTTTGTAGTGGAGAAATTTTATTTCCTGTCATGTACGAACCGAGGACTTGAATGTTATTTCGAAGAAATTAAAGGGTTAAGTTATTACACGTCGTTTGGGGCAATAAGCTCCGCCGAAACGTATGTATAAACCATCTATAGTACCAGTTGTCACGCAGTATGCGTGACTATAGACGGGGTTTGGTTTGGTGAATGAATTTATTGACCACTTATACACACGACTCAGAACTACAAGCAATTACATCTCCACAATTCACAGATCACCACAGCAACCACTAGGCCTTCTTTCGGCCTGCGGCCTGCTGCCGCGGGAAGGTGTTTATTGAGCCGTTGCCCAGAAACGACCGTTTGTTACAGAGTCACCGCTTAATGACGGGGTCTATACTCCACAACACTTTGTCTTCTTTCTGCTTTACCTAACGACGTTACCAGTAAGTCGAGATGATATAGCATCAAATGGTAGGTTGATATGGAATAACGAATTATAAAGGATGTCGAAGAAAACGGCCGTGACTTAATTTAAGACGTTATCCAGGAAATCTAGGACAAACCTCGGTCAGGATAATTGGTGCCCCGGCCGAGATTCGAATAGGAGAACCTCTCGAATACCGGGCAGATACGTTATCGGGTCGGCTGGATTGCTCGACGTCACTAGCCTTCAGACCACAAGATGCCAATTTTCATCACCGTGCAAAACTCGGTTTACATTTGAGATGTCTGCTTGTTACTTCCTCGGTTCGATGTTCGCCTGTTGCTTGTACGACTGTAGTGTAGTGGGGCTACTAGACTGGCATGTTTGAATGTTACAAAATGTGGAGGAATGACAGAGGGTGTAAGCGGACAGGCAGGGGTTGTATAGGGTCGGGTTATACAACCGTATTGATCGACCCCGGCGCCACACCCTATCACACAATCTTGGGCTCCAGTCTTTTCCAAAATATATTTTTTCCATTGACCATGAATGTCTTTCTGTCAACATGGCCGATGTCAATAAACCGAACATTTACGTAATGTTTCTTCTGGGCTCGCAGGATATGAAATACGCGCGACGCCGGCACCTGTTGATGGGCGTCATCCCCAATGTAACGCCCGCAACAACGGCCAACCATGCGCCATGTTGCATGACAAGTGTGTGATATAATTTGTTTTTATTTTATTTGCAATGTCAACTTCACCTCATGAACACATGAGTCTGTAGCAGCATTATGGTTAGGAACGGGCATAACAACTGACTGAGAGTTTACAGATCGCCGAGCGATTCAAAGAATAATTATTTTCGCAGTTAAGCTGGAATGAATACCATATGGTAACAACGGTACTGAAGTTAAATTAGACATAACTATTTGGTGTGTATGTTACCTAACAGAAAAGATGTGGCAAATGTATACGTTTTGTAGGAATTATGTTAATCGAATTCTGCTAATATGGAAGGGCGTTAAAGTTGTCAAATGAAAGAAAAACTGAAGGAAACAGAAAATACATAATTCGTCAAACTATACCTAAAAAGATGGAACATCACAAAACTCTTAAACATATTACTAATTAAAATTCTACTCTCATCGAAGTTATATGGGTAACATATTGCAGCCTAGTTTTATACATAAGATAAGATAAATTAAAACAACACGTCCATTAATGAAATACATTTTTCACTCACCATGCCTTCACCCTGATAAGAACTTCGCCTTCCCCCAGTGTTGGTTCCGGCTTCTTCAAAACTTTAACAGATTTAAGACCCCCAAAACCGGTAAGCACAACGGCTCGCATTTCTTTCGGAGGCTGTTCCGGAGTTTTATCGGCAGCTTCATTTTCCTCAGCGGAAGCTTCTTGCTGTTTTCTCTTCTCCGGCGCCTTCTCTTCGGCCGCTTTAGACTCCTGCTGCTCAGACATTTCGACGACGAATAACTACTACCACACCGCCTCGAACGAAGCCGCGCTCTGATCCTTTAGAACCCTGGGTTAAAGGAAGGGGGCGAGGGGGTAGTAGTAGGCACGGATTACTAAGTAACAGGTGCTCCGCTAGCCTGGTGACTAGTAGAGTCAACAGAAGAAACTACCGGAAATTAGCCCGCGTGAAAAAGTTGGGAACTAAAATACAACTAATAACAACTGTTTTGTCTTATTCACCGATATGAAATAAAATTTGGAATTTTTTTCTAAACACTGAAAATACAGATTAACGAAACAGAGAGAAATTTTCAATAATTATACTGATATACATAGGGAAAGTAATATAACATAGAATTAACCTATGATTGGGTACCCTAGTGTTTAGAATGTTGGCTATCATGTATAGTAAGCAATATGGCGCCAAGAATGTTTGTAATAATTCTAATCTTTTCGGTTATCAAAACACAATGACAGTTGATGTAGTGTGTTTATTTGTTTCATGTGCCATAGTTATTATACTTCATATGCAAAGTATCCCTTTTATGGTTCAGTTATTCCCGAGAAAACAGACTTCATATTCATCTGAAATAACATCGAATATTTCAACATCGGCTAGCGTGTCGTCTGTACGGTGTCATGTTTACGGTCATAGGAAATCTTGTACCTTCGAGAATTTGTGTTATGTACCACATGAAAAACAGTTTGTTTTTACTCTGGCAAACGGTTCCGTCTTTTCCGGTGTTACAAGCATAAATGACCTGAAAACAATAGACTTGTCATCTGTAACAAACCATAATGGATTTATGATGAAAATAGCAATTGTTACCCCGGATAATACGATTTTGAGAAGAAATCGAATTAATATTCCGTATGGTTTCATTCTTTGGAGATTTAAGTGGGATAATATAATGCATGTTATACACGATGATTTATTGCCCCTCTATACAACGTATGAAGACATCTGTACAGGAAATGTTGACAAATGTGTATCAAAATATCGTATAGCATTTGCAGATGAAGGCGAGCTTGGCCCATTAAATGAGTGGTACAGTATTTTTTCCATGTCAGAACCAATGATTTTACAAAAATGTGGTATAAACAACATAATTTGTTTTGAGGAGAGTCGAACTGGACTACTGACTGACAGTGTGTGGTTTCAGTATGGATTTGGCATTCCACAAGGACCTGTTGCTGATACACAACTTAATGGAAATCGACTGAGGCGATTTTCAGAATTTGTATTACGCAAATTCAAAATACCCACACCACAAAACTTAAACAGTACAGATGTTGTGTTTTTCAGCAGAAAAGTTAATCGCAAGATTCTGAACGAAGGCACTGTGATAAACAAAATTGAAGATATTTACAAAGACGTTTTCCACAATATTTCTAAGTTACAAATTCTTAACACAGATCTTACAACTAATGATACAAGAGATATCCTATATCATCTCTCACGGTCCAATACAGTTGTGGGTATGCATGGTTCTGCCATGATTTTGACCATATTCTTGAAACCAGGGTCTGTTATAATAGAACTGTTTCCTTTTGGAATTAACCCTCAGCACGTGTCTCCTGTGAAGGTAGTTTGTGACCTACCAGATGTTGGATTACTGTATAGATCATGGGCAAACACTAAAGAAGAAAACACAGTGATACATCCTGATGCACCACCACTCCTCGGCGGAATCAGTCACCTGTCTCCTGCTGAACAGGAGCAGATAAGAAATATCAGTGAAATTCCAGCTGTTGAATGTTGCCACAACCCAGCCTATCTCTACAGAATGTTCCAGGACACCATAGTGGGAAATGACATTGATGTTATATTGAAAGATGCATTTTGTAAACAGCGAGACTTCTCAGAAAAATCCTTTAATGAGGAACGTATGTCTCGGATATTGTCACAGTGGTATTTCCCAGCTCCTGTCGGTAATGTTTTGTGTAGCTATGCAGCACAAGACAGAATTGTCACAGTGACTTGGGTTCCTCCTCCAAATGTAAAAGATCCAGAGTACCACATTGCAGTTGTCACCAACAGTTCACTGCAGTTTTCAGCAAACAGCAAACAACCCAAGATGGAATTCGTACTGCCACTTTTAGTTCGTGGTGATACTACAATTGATCTGTGGGTGAAATGTGTTGAATGGGGTCAGGCCAGTTTGGACACTTTCACACAATGTAAAGTGCATGTCTGACAGAACTTTATTTGTTTGTAAGAATTTTCAAACTGGAGATGAAGAATTCTGTCTTCTGGGATACAGCGGTGTGTAGTCCTATGAAAGTCGATCTACATTTAAGGGGGACATATTGCCTCCATCTTCAGGGTCAAAGAGTAAGCCGAGCAAGCAGCAAACATAGCTCTACTTGCAAGATAAAACTCTTCTCAATATTTGCAAGTTTTGGAATTACTGAATCACACAAATTTCCGTTTACTGAAAACTGAGTTTCTCTTAGCTATTTAATTTGTAAATTAAGGTGTTTCTAATAAACCTGAATATTCAGTCTGAACATTGTAATTCCACATTTTGTATTCCAAAACCATAGATTTCAGAGAATGACAACTCCTATCAGCAGTTTTCAATTAGGACACAGTACTAATGGGTGATGGAATACTGTATCTTCACTAGCAAACCCACACATGAATATCTGCCCTGCAATTTTAAGAACAGATTTGTATCAATATAAGATAACTGTTCAATAAACACTACTTTAATACCAGTTCCTTTGTGATCATTTATTACATACAGAAGGCTATGCTTCCTTGGTAAAAATAATGACTTATGCTGTTATTTCATTCCACCATTACTCACTAATCATCTGTCACCATCTTCAAAAAAGTGCTGCAGAAGCTAACAAAGCAACAGTTCCATCTTCATGCTCATATTGCTATATTTTACATTGGAATAAAAGAGCCTATACTAAATTAATAGGCATCTAAATGGTTGCTCAACCATTATAACCATGCAGTCATCAGTCCCAGTGCTTTTCTTGTGGGGGAAGGACCCACACACATGAAACAGCATTCTCTTCTTAGAGCAAGATATGACAAATGACAAAATCATTATTTCAGGGACATTATTTAATGCTGGTAGCAAAACCCACTAATGTAACCTGATCTTTAGATATTACCATTCAGCCACCCACAGTAGTTACCCTTATATTCATCTTTACATTATGCTGTCACCACCATATCACCTTTCTTTATCATATTAATTTTTCAATTAGACTGTTATTGTACAGATGTTATTGTATTTGACTCGTTCCATATCCTACGGTGTCTACCTGTATCTGGATTTATGGAACATAAATAAATTGAACAATTTAAAAGTACCCACTTTCTCCATTAACAATCTATTTGTAGTTTGTGTATCCCCCACAAAAAACCACGATATCAGCACATAGCATAATAGACTTTGCTATTCTAACAAGAATGAGAGTATTATATTAGAATCATGCATATATTGCATTACCATTCTGAAACCAAATAACACAGTTTCTCCTCAATATCTTAACTTCAGGCAATCCTAACTTGTAGCTTAACCGGTACTTATGGTAAACTACATACATTTTCAGACACAAAACACTCATAAATTGATAAACATGTATGCTACAATAGGAAGAGTACTTCCTAGTTCATTAATTTACAGAATACATTTCAGTCACGAAGGGTGTTTTTCCAGAAGTTATACAAATGTGCAAGGATTCATAAATGAAAAAGTACACAGGTGATCATTCCAATTTACAATTTAATTTTTATAGCTTGTAACAATTCCTGTAGGTGCAAGTTTAAAGATAAAATAATCTTAATTGCATTAACTTTATATGTAGCTACAATACAATACATATTATACAGCACGAAAAAAAATATTAGCAACAAAAATGTGAACAAAACTCAACACTCCACAACCTAGCAGGTATATGCATATAGATATATGTATATATTTATAAAAAGTGAACTTATCTTAAAAAGTTTTGCTGACATGTTAATGCCCCTATCATCATCAACACCACCATAATATGGACACAAAACACATTCACTCTCACAGAAACTGATTTATCCTTTCATCAATGAACAAATTCACAAATCAGTTATAGTTTTAATCATGCATAAGCCAAGAGATTAATGTCTAAATGGTAATAAATCAAACAATGTTTGTGTTAATGCCATGGTAACTGAAACCGGAAGTATACCTACATACAGAAAAATGAAATATGTAAACACATTAAGAAATATATAATTTACATCTTATAATTTTGGTCATTTTAGACAAACTGGAATTAAAAGATGATGTTTAAGAGGGCCGAACAAAAGCCGTAAATGCCGACTCCTACTGTAACATCCTCAGGAAACTTCGTAAGGCCATTCAACTGAAGCGACCAGGACTCCTCACCAAAGGCGAGTTGCTCTTGCATGACAATGCGCATCCCCATACTGCCAACAAGATAATGAGACGCTGCAAAATTTCAAGTGGGAAGTCCTCGAGCATCCTCCGTATAGCGCCGACCTTCTTCCAAGCGACTTTCATTTGTTCAGCCCTCTTAATCATCATCTTTTGGATGAACATTTTCCCGATGATGAAGCTGTAGAAAGGGAAGTCACTGCCTGGTTCCAACAGCAGCCCAAAGAATTTTATGCTGCTGGTTTTCAGGGGCTTGTGAAACAATGGGACAAGTGCCTCAATGTACAGGGAGATTGTGTTGAGAAATAAAAGCATTTTTCAAATCAGTACTCTTATTTGTTTAAGTTCTATATCCATTTGTAACTTACTTATTGACTTACACTCGTATATTCACTGGACAGAAGGCAGCAGTGAAACATTTTCAATTTATATTCTTCCAGAGTAGTCTGTATTAACAATGACGTATGAAGGAGAGATGATTTCTTGAACAGTACAGATATAGATTTCATATTCTTTCAGTAGAAGCCTACACTGAAACTCAAATCTGTACAGCATGGAAATGAAACAAAAAATAAACCAACTACACAACTATGCATGTGTGCCCTGAAATGTACATGGATTCAATGCTAATGCAAAGGCTTAAAATAAAAACAAGTTGTACAGATTTTCTGAAGGACCAGTACAAATCAAATTATCCCATAGTCCTGGAATCACTTATAAAAAAATGACACAAAATTTATCCTTAAATAGGAAGGAATACCCACTGAAGGACCCAACATAGTGAGAATACAGGGGTAGCACATAAATTTCCAACCCTGGGAAAAAATTAAAAACTACAACTTAACCTGGAACCAAAACTGAGTAGATACTGTTAGTCAATTCCATTGACTGCATATTCATGCAAACCTTGGAGAACAGTTTTAATGGCGATCTTGTAGTTTTAGTCTCCAAAAACTAGACATCACTAACATAGCAGTTTGTGAGAACAATCACTTATTCCAAATGTGTGTCTGCAGCAATGACAGTCAGTGGTGGCTAGTGATTCTTGTTGTGGTTTGGGCAACTTTTCTGGCCTCTGCGCACTAACTGAGTTGAAGGAATCCATTAAAGGGAGGAAGCAGGCACTCCATGGGCATTTCACTGCATCCAATAACAAGATGAGAATGGTTGGCACAGGACCAGTATTTAAATATTTCTTATACACAAGAATATATAGACATATGCTCTTCATAATAATAACCCCTAGCACACCTGTAGCTCAGAACATTTCTAAGCTGACACAATGACACCCAATGCTAACTTTAATGAACAGAATTCCTTACAGGACATGGACACCTAAGGGAGGAGCGAATCCTAGTAGGCTGCCACTCTGAATTTAGCAGCCCTGGGGTATCAGTTTCTAACAAATCACTGCCACCATATGGAAAGAAAGAGAACCAGTTTGGCTAATGACAAAAATGAATGCTCTACATTCCATCCATCTTAACTTTAGTGCTTGAAGAGAGATGGCTACTGTGACACTATAAAGTGAATACGACTGGGTGAAAAGCTAAGCACATTTTTAATTTTTTTTATACTTGATTGCTTTTATGTGATGCAGTGACCCTGTCAGGCTATTTATTTTCAAAAATCTTAGTAATACTGGAAAGCTTATTGCCTTATGATACAATGTCTAGGAGATAAGTGGGAGGTTTGAAAATATCACATGACAAGCAAGGAGTGATGTCACAAGTGCCCTGCATGCAAACAGTTATTTGCTTTGTGGCCCTAAAACGGTAAAAAGTACTGTACTTTGATATGAAGAACAAATGAAAGCAGCAGCTCAGCAAGTGCCAGGAAGCATTTCAGATGCCTCCTTACCAATAAAATACACATTATGTTGTTACAAAATGGTACTCATTCTAGCATTTATGCCATGAGTACTGTACGAAGATATGAATGGGAATATGAGGACTGACAAGCATCACCATCATCATATAAGCAGAATTACATGTCCCCAGCCTCACGTAACAGATGTTGAGGTTAAGAGTGCATTAGCACACACCTGGTGCATAATTAATTAAGCAAAGGGACATAACCCTTAATGTAAATGGTTATAATATTTCATGGCCACATAAAAAGACTCTCAGTTCAATAAGTGAATAACCTACGCTATAGTGATCCAAAAGAGAGGAAAGATGACTTGGTTTGAATAACAACACATTCAGAAAGAAGGGACATGTGCACCCTGTGTCTGGGTCATCCAAGAGTTCTCATGTTGTACCCCGGAGTTAACACATGCACACCATACTGACCTGTTACAAAGAACACTCCAAGAATTAAAAAATACCTCCCTAGATTCTATATATAATTCCATTCCACCTTCATACAGCAGCTTTCAAATTCATCTTTAGCATTAACACAATAAATTATCTTCCTAAAGCAATATTCTAAAAACAAAATTTTCATCATGCATATGTATATACAGAAACAAAAAAAGGAAATGATACTTTTGTAATCCATTACTATTAAAAAAGAGAACTTTCATATTGAATCCTGGCTCCAATAAAGTGAAAGAAATGAAATGCACTTTCCATGGCATGTGTCATCCTATTAAAAAATTCATACAGGTGCACACAAACTTGGGTTATGCCATTTTATAGTGTCACAACTATAAAACTACTGGTAATTGCTAGACATAAAAGCTGCTAGCAAACGGCAAGGTAATGTCTTCAAATAGTTTATCTATATGTTGTGTTCCATATTTTAAAATTCAATGTCATATCTGTACTGAATGAGTCAGTAACAACTTCAAAACTTTTCAAACCATTATGAAGTACACAATTTGCTTTTTAATTGAAGCAGGGTGCAACTCTAATAACTGTCAAGATAAAAAAAATAATTGTGCTAGCATCAGATACTTATCTGGCTACAAATATAACAAATATGTAAGGGCGCAAAAAAAAAAAATTAAAATTAACAGTACAAACGTATAAGGACTTTACAAGTGAACAGTTATCTGACAGCCCTATTGGTGGGTATTATCACAGTGCGCTGGTCACAATGCATTCATCCGTCTTCTTCAGGTTCTCACAGTGGTGACTTTCTATCTTATGAGATTTAAAACTGTTTAGTCTGGTGAAAATCCACTGACATTTCTCTGAATCATCGACTGACTTTCACTGACTACGCAGCATTATATCCCAGAAGATGGAGCTGTTCAGCTGTTTCCTTGGCACCCAGTACCTTCTAGGTCCCTTAAGCTTCATAAAATTGTGATCTGATGGAAGAAAGAACTGCATTTGAACTTCTATTTCTATGATACAGCAATACTACTTCCTTTTTCTAAGATTATAAAAGACTGTGCCAAATCTCGGGGGTGCCTCATACCTCAACAAGACGGCTGTCACCTACTCCTGTGTCTGAACAAGACGTTCACCTATCAGGTTATGCAGTCTCCTGGCTGCGGCAGTGTGTTGTTTAGCTGGAGAGGCATCTGTATCAGGAGTATCATCCACAAGTATTCTCTTCCCCACCCTCTTCGAGTCAATCTGGATCATGGTGTTGATTGCACGCAAATCCTGTAACAATGAAGTGATTTCTGTTTACGCAGTTATTTTAAAACATTGCATTAAATATTAATTCTCATAATACGAAAGACTTAACAGGAAGACTGTGGGAACACTGAATTAGGCACAATATTGGATGGATGCAGTACACTTTCAGGATTTTCACGGGAATGACTAACCAAAAAGTGAATGATGAGTCACAAGGCCAGTCAATTTTTGCACTACTACAACAGTGTGTCTAAACCGAGGAAAGAACAGAAACCCAAATCACAAAAGTTAATTTTCAGCCAGGATTTGCAGTGTCGTGCACATCCCGAATATGAGCCAGATGTATTAACAGCGTCAAGCATTTATCAATATCATCTGACATTTGAATATATCAATTATTTTAGTTCTCCCATGCAAACTAACGACACTTCTCAAACACGCAATTCGTCCGATGTCTTTTATCAAACATCTGAGATAGCTATAATGCAAGCCATGTTATGTTAAGACATCTGTGAAATGTACTGGATTTTGATATTCCCCCCCTCAATCTTTCTTCCTGCAAGTTTCACTTCCAAAATTATTCAACATATTTCAAGTACATTTTATTTGGTCCATTCTGACCCCAAATATCCCCTTCTTCATGCACATATCAAAAGAGAATGTTCCCAAAGCTGCGCCTCTGCATAAAATGGGGGGGGGAGAGAAAGGTATATAACAAAAGAATTAACAATCTACAATTTTTATTTGGAACATAACAACATGTAACACAATACAAGCAAAAATATTTTATCCTTCTATCTAATGTGACATTTCTGGTGCAATCATCTTCGTAACAATAAGCATGTCCTTGCGGTAAATGAACATCAAGACTAATGTGGTATACAAAAACACAAAGAACAAATTTGGAAAATGTGTTTACTCCAAAAACCTACAGGAAAGTTCATATAGGAAACCATTTTCCTTGTAATTTCCTTTTCCAAATGTCTGTAACAAGGCAATACATTTAACATCATTGCTTTAGAATATGACATTAGAAAAGTCCAGGAAAACCAGGTGTGACTGATATCAAACACAACACATTAGGTGCAGCTCTATGCTGATGATGTAAATCTATTGGGAGATAACACAAATACCATAAAGGAAAATACTGAAGCTGTGACTCTAGCAAGGAGGTTGGTCTAGAAGCAAACAGAGACAAAACCAAGTACAGCATGGTCACACTTTATGCAAATTTAAAACAGTGCAATATAAAAATATTAATAAAGGCTCACTTTATGCACAAAGTCTCAGACAATGCAAATCCCCAAAAAGTTACTTTACATTTATTCCTATGACAATACTTGATGTCTTGAAATATGTGAGGTCTCCAGGAATGCAGCCCTTGCATAAAATGTGACTACACCGTGTATGTTGTCTCGTCACTAGAATGCTAACAGATCCTTAAAAAATGTGGCGAAGTTCCAATATTTGGGAATGACAGTTACAAATCAAAATCTGATTCAGGAGGAAACTGAGAGCTGATTAAATATGGATACTGCTTGATACAATTCAGTTCAGAACCTTTAATCTTCTTGCCTTTTGTCTAAAAATGTAGATGTTAAAAAATACACATAACCACAATTTTACCTGTAGTTTGCATGAGTGTGAAATTTGGTCTCTGATATTAGGAGAACAACACTGACTAAACACATTTGAGAAGAGGGTACTAAGGAAAACATCTGGACTGAAGAGGAAAGAAACGAATGGAGGGTGAAGAAAACTGCATAATGAGATTCATTAACTTGTACCCTTCGCAGAATATAATCGGAATGATTAAGCCACAGAGGATATGATGAGGGAAAGCCAGGAGGAAAGAGACCACTATATAAACCCAGACACAGGTGGGAGGATAATATTAATATGGATCTTAAAGGAATAGGGTGGGGTGGTATGGACTTGATTCATCTGGCCCAGGACAAGAACCACTGCAGGGTTCTTATGAACACAGTAATGAACCTTTAGGTTGAATAAAAGTTGGGGAATTCTTGAGTAGGTGAGCAACTGGCGGCTTCTCAAGGACTCAGCTCTATGGAATTAGTGGAGTTTACTCCAAAACTGAGGCACATTTTTCCACCCTTGTTATCTGATGAACCCAAGTATCAACCTGAACTACAAATCAAAAGAACATGTATACAATTTAAACATTAAAAAAATTTAATAGAAGTACAGATTGTGAGAAAATTTGGAAAACAAAAAGCAAATATATATACATAAATAAACGGAAAAAAAAAACAGATGTTTTCATAAAATAATGATCAAGAGTACACATGAGACATGAAATTACAAATTGTGCTAGTTAAGCCTGTGGCAATATGCATGTGTCCACAAAAGAACAACATAAATTTATTTCTTAAAAGCCTTAATATTACAGGCCAGACAACACATAAGAAACGAATTCTACATGTTTGTTTCTTTGGCAGACACGGCATAAGAGAGCACTGTCACAGGGGAAAAGCAGAGCACAGCTAGCATATGCAACTCACTTTGGCTGGACTCCTGCTGAAGCAGTAACTGAGAGGCTGTGTTTGTATTGGAGAAGTTGGCAGCACCTTGGGCTCCAGCGATCGAATATACACAGTGTGCTTGTCTGACACTCTGCGATAAGGTGACATAGGCTGATTCTTGCCTACTGGTAATGGTGACAGAGCAAGATTCTCCATCTACAGAAGAGAGAAGGGAACCGGTTTCAATTTGTTGACAGGGAATAAAATTATATACATAATTTATCTCTAAGTTTTATAATTATATAAATTAATTTATGATTAAATTATCGTTTCACTTATTTAATTAAAATTTAGAGGATAAAGATGTGGTTGGATAGAACATATTGGCAGATTCCTGCTCCGAATCTTAAAATACAACTGAACATGACAGAATGAATATGGCTTATACTGAGGGAAAACAAAGCATACAATCTTACATAATGGCGAAAAAAAAATCTGGTATGACAAAAAATCCCCACACTTTCATAGTACAAAATTGTTCCCAGCTGCAGGTGACTCCTTTTCTGCAGTTTTTTTTTGTATGAACTGTAATTTACAGCTGTTACACCACACCCTGTTCTCCTCTCTTGCTTTGAGAAGGAAAATCGGCATTCCACTATCTAAGAATTGTAGGTCTGAATATTCTATGCCTGTACTAGATGGGAAATAAAAGCTGCAACAGAGGAACAAGAGTCAGCAGATAACGGATAAGCATTCAGTATTCCTACTTCATACGAGAATCAGATCTTAACCCATGGGCTTTTCAAGGCTTGCCTCGGTCCCTCCTGGCAAATGTTAGGCGAGTACCTCAAATTATATCACAGCTGTTTTCTTTCACATTGTTTAATTCATTATCATCCTATGGTATGATGCTACACGGTATGGGCTACTGAGCATCAACAAATAACATGGGGAAATTGATTTCACAGAGTTATGAAAACAAAAGTCAAATCTTTCAAATTAAAACATTTGAAGCTTTATGCATTATCACCTGTCCTCCACCAACGGAGAATTTCAGTGCAAATCCTTGGATTTCCTGCACATAGATTGTGTTGTAGAATTTTATGAGATCACCACGATCCTCAAACTCGAAACTATTTCCTGTGCCTGCAAGATGTGTTGGTGTAGGTGGAGCAGAAGGGGGCTGTGTGACAGATAGTGTGCTTGACGATCGGATCACATCCTTCGGTTCCTCACCTACACATCAAAATGCAGCATTGTTACTAAATATAGTACCACGCAGAATATACGACACATTTAATTACAACATCTAAAACCTGTCTGAAAGAACAGGCGGCAAAGGACACCATTAAGGTACAAGAGAGAGGAAACAAACAGAGTTTGAAACTGCAGCACAATAGGATGGCCCCATGTAATACCAAGTATACTGGGAAATAGGCTCCTTCTCTTCATCAGTTCCATACAACAGCAGTATTCATTTTTAATATTTATTTATCCCCAGCATTCACCCATATTCTGTAGCCTGTAGTCTGCAGGTGAACTATACCGATGGAGCAACCGCCACTTGTCGGCAAAGTTAGTGTCAACTTTTGCGGATAGATGGTGTCACGTGGTCAGTGCAACAGATTTTCACGGCCATTAATCTGTTTTCTAGACAGGAGCCCCTATTTCCTTGAAATAGCTCCTCAGTTATCCTCACGAGGCTGAGTGGACCCCATATTCACTGTTACAAAATCTCTCTTTACTTTATTGCTTCATCTCTCCTAGTCTCCTCTTTGCTAAAACACAATTTTCAGTCTGTAGTAATGGACGATAAAAGAGTACAGTGAGGAGCATTGCATTCACATTTTTGTTAGTAGCATGCATGCATGAGAGAAAACAGGAATGCACATAGCATTTAGTGTGAACGCCAGAAGGAAAGAGACCACTAGGAAGGCCTACATGTAAGTGGGAGGATAATATTAAGATAGAGATATAGGATGGAGCAGTATGGATTGAATTGATCTCTCTGAGGACAGGAACCAGTGAACATGGTAATGCACTTTTGAGTTCCATTAGATGCTGCGAGATTCTCAAGTAGCTCAGCATTTGCTACATCACAGCTGATACTCACAGCAACAGATGATAGATGAACTGTAAGGGATTTGCAAGGAAGTGGTCACACCAAGGTGCTATCCTGGAATTTGAGTGGAGAACTGGGAAACACCCATCAGGATAACCAGCAATTCAGCCAAGATTCAAACCAAGCACCTCCCTAACGTTACCGCTGTATCAACCGACTCAGTGAATGGATTCGTATGGCTCGGGGCAGGGTCCAATGGTGGGTTTCTGGAGACAAAATAATGAACCGTTTGGTTCCATAAATGAAAGGAAATCTGACAATCTGTGTGACCGTTAGCTTCTCAACAATACTTCTGTTTAGTGGAATTAGGCAAAATTCACTAAAACAAAATGATAGGCCCACAAATAGTTTGATTACAAGAGTAACTGCAACTTGCTTAAGGAAAATGACATGATAGAAGGAAACTGGCACATAAATAAATTCTGGGCAGTGGGCCAGGCTGCTGAATCACTGTACAATTTATTATTACCTTTGACCTCCGTGTCATTGGGGACAGGACTCGAGGTGTTTGAGGTACCATTGCTGGAAGAGCCAGACCCTCGCCTGTGCTTGGTGCAAAGCAGGACACTGCGGTAGACGTGTGAGGCCGCTTGTGGCTGGAGGCGGTAACAACGCATGATTTCTCCAAAAGCCCTCTCACTCTGAACCACCTATTCAGGTAAAAACCAAAATTATTTAATACAAAAACAGAATTTCTTTTGCTGTATAATTATTGTGTTTCTGGGCATTAGCCATCGTCCTGTTTTCATTTAAAACACACAACGTTTCAGAGACTGGGTTCTGTATCTCTCCTCTGGTGGGACCTAATCTGCTGGGCCCAATCAACAGAGCTAGTCCCTACCTCCAGACACCACCATCAACACACAATAGAATGTATAAGCCAAGAACAGCATACACCATCTGAGAGTTAACAAACATTGAAAAAACTTCACACGAGGCCTAGCACTTATGTCCATGTGTGTTTTAAATAAAAATAGGATGATGATTAATATCCAGGAACATAATAACTGTATTATTATACCATCATCACAAACTTCTACATTGTATTCTGTATTAGATAAATAATATTTTAAGCTTTGAAGCACTCGATAAACCCTGCATTTGAGATTTATATTAACCTTGCAGATGACATAGACTGAACACATTAAAATCTGGTCTGCGTGACGGTCCTGCATCAAGTCTGCGTGGTGGATAATGGTGTGCTCGAAGCATGTCCAAATCTTCCGTTTCAGCTCCATATCTTTTATGTTGAGATGAAGACACAACTCTTGCATGCGGACAGATGCCAGATGGTAGAACTGAAAAGAAATAGGGCCATAGTTTATATATATATATACATCATACAATACAATACATAGAGATTGGTCTTATATTATGCTTGAAATAAGTTTGTGAAGATAGTATATTAACCTTTAACGGCCGAATGTTATATATATATCGGCAGGACACGTGCTCTCTTTGGGAGTGCTGACAGTTTGACCTTGGGTTTGAAACCAAAACAAACGCTCATGTCAGTGGTTCATGCCTTAGCTATGAACAATGAAATCGTTTATCATGGTACTGGTTTCCATACTATTTATCTTTAGATATGACTGTTTATGACCTGGTCAGCCAAATATAGCCCAACTTTGTTTCGAGAACTGATGAGGAAATATTCATCAGTGCTTGCATATGAGTGCTTCCAGAGCCTTCAAGGATTGGTTTTCAGTGGCGAATTATCAGTTAGGAAGTCAGTGTCATACTGTCATATATTTTTTTGTATATCATTTTTATTTTGTGTCTTGGAAGAGGTATAAACCCACTGAGCCAGTATTAATATGTGAGTAAAAGATATCTTCGCCATTGTGACTTTCGGTATCAGTTTCGAACTGGCACTCTTTTCGACAAGTATTATAATTACTTTGCATCACTATTTTGCCAGCAGTACTAATAGGTGAGAGTGTCGCTTTGTCAGTCAACATAATTTATTTGATTTTGCTAGAAACCGCCATCCCCCAAGATAATTCATCAATTGCACAAGGCGAATATCACAGTCAGTGGTGTTTCTTGGGTGGAGGCCAAGGTTATCTGGGGCCCAACTGAGTCGACTGGAGGTGAAACATTCATAACACTGGCCAACCAAAGGGAAACAAAGACATTCTCGTGTGTTTCGCTAAATAAGAAAAGCAGGAGCACGCTCTTCTATTGTAAAAAGGGTGGTGTCACTCTGTGTGAGATGGACTGCTTCAAGAAGTTCCACGCGCGTCAGAGTGCGTGAGTATCGTAAACTGTGAAGAGACACAGTTCAAACTTGTGTACAGTCTGAACAAAATATTATTGTATACAGTGTGATTATATTGTAACGTGTCTGGAATCCAGAGGAGTCACTTCCATGGAAACACAAGAATAGACCGTTACATAAGAAGTAACAATAGCGGCACTGTAATCCCAACAGTGAGCCGTTGTGTAGAGAACACCGAATCTCCACGGTTACGACAAATACGCGTAGCGTTCCCACAGAGACAATGCAATAACAATGGGTCATTGCGTAGGAGACGCAGAACCAACAAAGCAACGTTTCCACTGCTATAACAGAGGATTCATCTGCCTAGCAGCGGCCAAGGTTATAAAAGCCCGGCTTCGACGAGAAGTCTTCAGTCTTCGTCGAGCCATCTAAGAAGCCAGTCGTTACCAAGCCTTTGGAGTGGAGTCAGTCTCGGAATCCGCCAGAGAAGACAGTCCAGCATCGCCGAGATATTGTGAGCAGTAATTGTACCACTGCAAGAGCAAATGATTGTAAAGTGTGTGTAAGGCGAGCGAACGTAATAAACTCGCTATATCAGAAGACGGCGTGAACTTATTTGTAGCGTGACACACAAAACACGCTACAATATTTACAATATAACCATTTTTCAAGTTTGAAGAAAAATCAATGGGTAAGTCCTTTGGAATTTCATAACACATATAATAAAGATTATATTTTGCATTTCATCACAAAATAATCACAGTTAATTTCTGTTTGTAAAAATTGCTCTTTTGTGTATATGTAGAAAATTTTGTCTTGCAGGTCGTTTTTACACGTAGTTCGTATGTCTATGTTGCATAGAACGGAAAATATGTATTTTTTTCTGAAAGTCTGCAATGTTAATTAATTAGGGTGATTTAAATACTGGCTGCAGAGGCTCCCGGCAATTTAAAAGTCCGTACATTAAAGGTTAACACAATTATTGTGTTTCTTGACATTATCCATCAATCTGTTTTGATTTAAAACACAGATTTCAAAGACTGAATTCCGTCTTCATCTTCAGGTGGAACCTACTCAGTCAGGCCCAATCAATTGAGCTGGTCCCTATCTCCCTAGCTCTATCAATTGGGCCTAACTGAGTAGGTTCCACCTGAAGATAGAGACAGAATCTAGTCTCTGAAACACTGCATTTTAAATAAAAACCGGATGGATAGCGCCCAGAAACACGATAATGTACCCTTGAAGTGATACCAACTTCAATCTGTGTTGCATCCCCTCTTCAAGATTAAGCCCCCTGCAGACCTGCCTCTGACATGAACTCCACCATCTTGCTTAATGGGCATTATGAGAGTCACCTGGCTTCAAGCAGCAGGTTCCCCAGTCACCAAATCTCAAATCATCTAAACCTTCTGGCAGTGTATTTTATACTCTCTATGCAGTCTTCCGCAAAGTGCATAAAATGAACGCCTCATGGGGGGGGGGGCAGGAAGTGTACACCTACATGCACTCTAAACTGTTTCATGAACTCAAGATGAAATTTGACACTGCATATCAATATACTCGTAGAAGTCATCAAGAAAATTTTATTTTGGTTCATAATGGTCTAGTATGAGCCTGCTTTACATACAGTTGCAACAAAACTTTACCATAGCCACCAACTTGTTCCAGTTTATTATAAACTGAAGACTGGACAAGCACACATACAAAGATGTAATTCTATATGCCCCTCCTTCCTTACATAGCACATACACAACAGACTGACACTAGCCAGCCACCAGATCATAGTTACCTTCCTGAAGAACAGCCCTAAGGATCCCGTTCGTTTTGGTTTTTTGTCCTTATTTGCCACAGCCTGCAACGGCAATGACTGTTGTTGCTGTTTTGGTGACAGCTGCAGCTGCTGTTTGTTGGGCGATGCTTGCTGTGAAGTGGAAGGTTGTGGCTGTTTCAGGGCTCCTGTAGGCTGTGCCTGAATGATAACACTTGCAGCACCTGGTACGTACGAGATGGGAATGTAGCGCTGACCATTCTCACCTTCAATTGCTGCAAACAATTGGACACAAACCATACTAATGTAAGGTTTCTTTAAATCCTAAATGTTATCCAAAAATATACATTAAAAATAAAATACTGCAACAACTATGAGTATTATTTAATTACCTAGAATGCAATCTGTCTTAAGTTTGGTGATCACATTCTTAAAACATTACTGATCCCTGCACATACATACATATAGAAACACACTGTGGCATAGTTGTTCAAAGCAAAATCTGTGGAGGCAGAGAAACAGCTGTTGCTAGGTAATGGCTCATACACATGCAGCAGAGGAATGAGTGACATTTGCTGTGATGTCATGCAACAACAGAAGAGGCATTCTCTGTGGGTCCGTGCTACACAACTGTAGTAACATTTCTGCAGCAGTGAATCAACACAGAACCTCAGATAAAGTGGTCTTTTCCATGGGTCCACCCTGAGGCTATATAATGAGGATCTCACATAGCTAGAATTAGAACTGAGTTGAGTTCTGGAGTTGCAGCACAGAATTGAGTCGGCAGCTGAAGGTGAATGAGAGAAATGGCAAGAAAGGAATCACACCGTGCAAAGAAGACTTCATATGTGATTTGATGTTACAGTGAGACTGTTTTGAATCTGCTGCAGGGAACGACTAGTGGAGAGTGTAACAGACTGTGGACACTAGTCAACTCTAAAGTGTGGAAATAGTGATAGTGCTGTAATTGCCTGTATTTGCGAGTTGTGTGCATAAGGTGTCAATAAATCCAATCATCCAATCCAAAACCCGTCCATAAGTCAAGCACAAACCCTAACACGTGATAATACATTTATACCTGACTCAGTGTGCCATCGAACTGTATGTTCACGTGCTGCCACAAAGAAATGGCAGAGAAACACTGTGTTAAGTCATTCTGCCATAACATATTAACTGGTATGCAATATATACATACTCTGTATGAATAAATCATCTCTGGACCACTGCAGCAGACAAAAATTAAAGCTAACGAATATGAAACTGTACTGTACGTTTTCTGAACCAGTGAAACTCACTCTGAATATTAATCGACATCATCTTAGCTGAGGTCTGTAGGAGAGACTGTCCAGGTTGCACTACAGATGTTCTGATATTATGTACTCCAGGACCTTCTGCAAACAACCGCTTCTTTGCAGCACTTGATCCAGCTGGTGGTGAGTGAAATCTCTCAGAAACTGATGATACTGGTGACTGAGATAGATCTGTAAAGAGACAAGGTATGAAAATTTTCTCTCCCAATGAACTCACTGCACTGCAAGAACCTATTCATTACAAGCGGTTTCACGGCTTGGGATGGTGTCTCACTTTAAAATATTGTCATATGTTTAATGACTAGACACAGGGTTCGAGCTGATAACTGGATTTACTGAACACCTGTAACTTGTAACTATAAGAGTTTCACAGATCTACATGATCTATAGGCTTCTATGACATCACCAGGCATTGCCAGGTAACAGATTGAAACAATATGTATTCCTCCGCTTCCATACTCACATCCTTACTGGGTGGTGATTGGGTTACAAGTAGCTGTTTTTTTTTTTGGCTTCTTGGGGTGGAGTGTGAGTGACTCCACTTGGTACGTTGGCCAACTAATTGGCCTACTGTACCAGCCCCAGACAGATGATGATGATGATGATGATGAATGTGGAGCAACTGGAGTGAAAACTGGCAGGGGAAACCGAAGTACTCGGAGGAAACCTGCTCCAATGCCACTTTGCCCACCACAAATCCCACATGATCTGATCTAGGTTCAAACCTGGGCTGCCGCAGTGGGAAGCTGGCGACTAACCGCCGAAGTTATGGCATGGCTGGCTCACAACTAACTCTCAGTTGTAACTCATGAGTGCTGTCTTTGGATTCCATGTCACAATTTGTTAGAATACATTTAACAAGAGACTCTCTACATGCATTAATTTTCTACTAGACCACCACATTTGTAGGAATGGTGTGAGGTGTTGCACTGAGAGCATGCTTTTGTTTCAGGACAAAATGAAGTTATAACCAGTCAGGTGCTCCTTTGTGTCTCGAGTCACTGCAGTTTATAGCTGTCTAGATAATTCATGATTAACCTTTCCCAGCTGTATGGAGTGTTACTGCAATGGCACACACGCACGGTCCAGGTACTCAAGTATCATGTTTCTTAATAATACAACTTCCTTTAAAAATAAAGCTGTGTGCTAGGTAATTTAAAACCACCTATCATTTGGCAATAACCTTTCAGAAGTCAAAACTTTGGGGCATGATTTTGTTAACCGTTTACACATACCTATCACATGACTGGCCATGTACACTAATGTATACAAGGAATGTTACAGTGGAACACTAATTTGAGACCAGCCGGGATAGTGACTGGCTATGGGCTGGAGGACCAAGGGGTTGGAGTATCAGTCCCAGTAGGGTCCAAGGATTTTATTTTCTCCATGCTGTCCAGACAAGCTCTGGGGTCCACCCAACCTATCCAATGGGTGCAGTGGGCTCCTCCCCTGGGGGGTAAAGCAGCCGGGACATGAAGGTGATCACTCACTTCCAGCTAGTGCCTAGGTTAAGAAAATGTGGATGTATACATCCACTACCCAATATAGCTTCATGGAATGGAAGTAAGTGAAGTAAAGGTATCCCTGCAAGAGGCTGTGGAGGCACATAGGGTTGTGAGATGGCAGTGAGGTTGTCAGCCCTACGCGTCAGCTGCCCTTTACCCCAAAGAACATTCCAAGAATATTCCTGGTACTCATTTCTGTTAGAGGCTGAGTTGGCCCCAGGGCCACAGTGCACCTGGAAGGATTAAGTCACTTGAAAAAATCCAATGACCTCATTGGGACTTGAACCCATGACCTTCCAGCTTGTAGCATAGTGCCTCAACCACCTATGCTACCGTGTGCACCCACCTTCATGGTATAGTGCTTGGTTAAGCAAACGGACAACTTTACCTTTTACCCCCATTTGATGTTTCTCAATTTCAAATTTTCCTCCATTTGATGTCGATTTCTACTAATCCCAAGTAGTCGTCTGTTTTAAACTTAACAGCACAATGACTCCTCAATTTCGTGTTCAAATCAACCATTCCTTCCAAACTGGAATCCATGTCTATTGCATTTAATGCTTACTCTGAGCAGGGGCCACCCTGTCAATTCCTGTTGTCAGCCTTCGAATGACCGGGTTGGGACAGGATACAGAAGATGTTGTGTCATCCAACTGCCCAGGCAAGCAAACGTCTTCACACGATGGTACTGGCAGTCCAGATTTGCGGATATTCTCCCAGAGGGGGCTCTCAGAACGCCATGCCAATGATTCCAAAATCTTCTCTTCCACCTGTAAGCATCAACGTAAGAAAAATTAAAGGGTGAAAACCTCCAACCATTACCATTCTTTACTCTAAAGTTAAACCAAATGCTAGGCGAGAAACGCTGCTCCAGTAAGGGTCTAATGTAACTTAAATTTTCACTTAGTGGGGGGTGGAGTCCAACTGGGTCCACTCGGCATGGCAGCCACCGATTTGTCTATTATACCTGCCCTGGGTGATTATGATGGAGAATTTGGAGCAATGAAGATTGGCAGGGGAGACCGAAGTACTTGGAGAAAACGTGCACCAGCGCCACTTTGTCCACCACATATCCCACTTGATCATGGCCGGGATCGAACCTGGGCTGCCGCGGTGGGAAGTCAGCGACTAATGCAATACCGAGCTGCCTGACATTAGGACTGTGCCATAGCTCAAGCGGTTAGTCGCTGGCTTCCCACCGCGGCGGCCCTGGTTCGATCCCGGGTCTGGTCAAGTGGGATTTGTGGTGGACAAAGTGGTGCTGGGGCAGGTTTTCTCCGAGTACTTCGGTTTCCCCTGCCTATCTTCATTCCACCAATTGCTCCAGTCACCCTCACCTATCATCTGGGGCTGGTACAGTAGGCCAGAAGTGGCCGCAGTACAAGGGACTTAGTCCCATCCCACTAGCAATAAGAAAAAAGGCAGGCAAGCAGCCAGCGATAAGCAGGGGCAGCCAGAATAATTTTCTTCTTTAGTTTACTCCTTGATTCTGAAGATTGAGGCAGTACGCTCTTCCGAAACGTCGATGGACTTATGCCGGTCTGCGCACCGCTGTGTGAACCTCAAACCAGAGAAGGAACAAGTTTCTCGAAAATGTAATGGGATTATGCCCTTCTTTCACTAGAGCTGGATTTATTTATCGCTGCCTGTGTACGACACACCCCCTTTCAGAGCCGTGTCCAGCAACCCCACCTACACTACTTGAGCTTAAGGGCAGTGAAATGAAAGTGCTGCTTCCGTTCGTCCCATGTTACGTACATCCGGACGGTTTTGATAAACATCTTATGAGGCGAAATCGTGTGTTGACACTTGTACACGTGCAATTGGTAACATTAGTCCACTATTTTAAATATTTTCCTTGTCTCGTGTATATTATAGCTTCAGGTTTTAACCCTTTAAAGACTGAATTTCCTGTAAATCGTATATATGTATCCAGGCCGCGCCATAGCTCAAGCGGTTAGTCGCTGGCTTCCAGATCCCGGGTCTGGTCAAGTGGGATTTGTGTTGGACAAAGTGTCGCTGGGGCAGGTTTCCCCTGCCAATCTTCATTCCGCCAATTGCTCCACAATCACCCTCACCTATCATCTGGGGCTGGTACAATAGGCCAGAAGTGGCTGCAGTACAAGTGACTTAGACCCACCACACTAGCATAAAAAAAAGAGAGAGAGCTGCCTGACATCAGGGGCTGTGACAGCCCCACATGGGACTGGAGGAATGGCAAGAAACACCCTGTTCCATGCTAAATTGTCTATCACATAGATTTAATTTAATAATTTAAATTTAGTGAACAAGAACAAACATGTCGAACACTATACCATGATACCCAACTGGTGAGAAATTTCAAACTTTTAATTGCCCTTAACCCCTTCAGGACTACAGTTGCAACAACACTACCAGCATCTTTTCAACAGCCTACCGTCACAGATACAAGTTTCAACATTTCATCACCATAGGACAGTTACACACACACACAGGAGAGTTTTGTAAGACATCTGTATTCATGGGGCACATACTGGGAGCAGAATCTTATGAAACCAGTTTTATTGTCTAGAAGGGCACACATATAAGGAGGAAACGCTGTATCCTCTGTATCACAGCAACTGAACCAAGTACAAGTAAATAAACGTGTGCTGTGAAGCCGTGAAGGCCCATAGGGTTGTGATATGTTGAGGCTCCTACATTTTCTAGACAATCGGCTCATAGATGGTGGTGAGTTTGTCAGCCTTATGCACCGGCCACCCTTTACCCCCAGGAATATTTCAACAATGTTCCTGGTACTCATTTCTGTTAGAGGCTGAGTTGACTCCAGGGCCATAGTGCGGCTGGAAGGATTAGGTCAATTGAAAAAATCCAATGACCTCATCGGGACCTGAACCTGCAACCTTCTGGCTTGTAGCATAGTGCCTCAACCAACTACACTACCACGTGCCCCAAAACAAATATAAGGTCACATTGTAAACTGATTGTATTCCATGCTTCAAACCTGACTGTTGATGAAGTGAATGAAATACTTTAAAGCTACTGTTACGGACTATCGGACACTTCTTACCATGTTCAGATGCTTCACCATATTCCGCGACAGGTGATCTTCTACTTTCACTATCACCTCAATCACCTTGTAGAAGTAATATGGTTCCACACTCAAGGCATCCAACAGCCAGGGGAATGTTCTCTGCGAGTTGTACGAATAAATCACAATTTCCAGGCAGCAAGCAAACAAGGACTGATGGAACACTTCCTGTTCCAGGAGGCTCTGGAAAAGAAATTTCAACTACTCTCACTCTCTAGCTGCAGAAGCACGTCACACAATGGAATCTTGTTAGCCTTGGGATTACAGGCTTTATTTGTCCGGAGTTGTTTTCTTTCAAAAAATTGATAAAACTTAGTGATCCCAAGGGCAAGATACAATCATCCTCTTTCCCCACCCACTCCTGTTATGTTACCTCCCTTAGAGTCAGGCATTTCCCTCGGCACTACTTCACACGTTTTACATGCACATAAAATGCTTTTAAAATAATTTTTAGTCTTTAAGCTTTCAAAGAAGACAGGATATTTAAAATTAGAGAACCAAAATCAAGGCTAGAAGCTAAGGATGAATGCTGAAATAAATACCGTGAGATCCAAATCAGGTTTCTTCTTTCGTTCTTCAACCAAGATATTCTCTAGCAGTTTGTAGTACAGGCTCTCCCCAAGCTGAAGCCGCTTGCGAGCAAAGTCCATGTGTTGGCCAGGGTGATCTTCAGTATGCTGAGTGTAGCGAGCACAGAACAGATGCCCCATTTCCCTCACCAACTCTGCAATCTTCTCTTTCGGGTCACAAGAACATGACCTGTCCAAGAAAATACATTTCCAGACATCTACCAACGCAATCCAGTAATACGTGAGAACACTGACCAAGCTGGATATAGCATGACATTTCTGCCTGTATTTGGAAGGTAAAGGTATTTCATGCTGTTACACAGTTCATCAAAGTGATTATCTGAACAGTACAAGGCCATGACAGCTTCCTTCCACATCCTTCCCAGTTCATTATTCAGTTACCATTTCATCACTACAGTCTGGACAAATAGCTTCTTTACAGAAATCAGAGACATACAAATAAATTCCAAAGTACTAGTGCATAAGGGAGACAGGATAGCTCAGTTAATATAGCAACAGGCTATGGGCTGTACAGCCAGGGTTCAATTCCCGGCAAGGACAAGAAATTTTTCTATTCTCCACAGTGTTCAGATCAACTCCGTGGCCCACTAGCCTCCTAACCAACAGGTACTAGGCACTCCCAGGGGTAATGCAGCAAGGGCATGAAGCTAATCACTTGCCTCAATCTAATGATGAGGTCAGGACTGGTGGAGCTATTACCTTCATTACCCAGTGTCTTTATGGTATGAATAGTGATTACGTACAGGGACAACTTTTACATACACATAAATATCCACCCCGTTTTTAATTTTATGTAACACAAACCTAAACAATTCAAGAAGCGTTTCACTAGGACTGGCTTGGCGCCCCGCCAGTAGAGTCTGTAGGCGACTCACGCTCTGCGTTGCGGTAGAGACTGGAGTAACATTATGCTGCATCTCCTTGCTCTTGAGATACCTGCGTCCTGTCAGCGGCGTTGATGGAAACAACTGCTGCATCTGGAAACAGAAATCCAGTGATAAAAGGACGCTATGACAGCTGCCTTCCGGCACACATTCCATGGCTGTAATCTGCAATACAAGGCATAATTTTGTTTTGACAGAATGCTTTTCCAGTCTATTTCATCTTTAGCTACATTTCATACCCATGATGATAAAACTGAAAAGTTCTTACAACAGACCAACCAACCAGACTCCATGGAGGTGAATTTTTATTGAGAAGCCAAGAGTCACTCAACTCCTCAATAATTTATCAACATTTTACAGGACCATGAGGTTAATTATCGCCTTCACAAGAGCCCACTACTGGCCCATATCCTGAGGATTAATCCACTCCACAAAATCCCATTTTAACATTATTCTCCCACATACATTTAGGTCTTCCTAGTGTACTCTTTCCTTCTGGCATACAAAATCGAAGAACATAAGGAAATACAACAAATATTAATAACAAAAAGTATGTTTTCTTATTCACAAAAATTGTCTTAAACGGCTAAAATCTGTAATCATACCTTTTGGGCGATACCCTAGAAATGACGTCAACGGCGCCCATGCAGTTAGCACATTCCTCTTACTGTACATCATTATTCAGAAAAGGTTTGTTAAAATATACTTACACCTCCACTGTACTTTTGACCTCCAGCTCTTTTTGCTTGAACTGCAAACTCCATTTCATACATTTTTGCTGGGGTGCCAATGTCTTTGCTTGCATCATCACCTGCATAACCCAAACCATACAAATACAAAACACAACAAAATCAGTATAACAATTCTACTGCTATGACTGAGATTCTCACAGGAAGTCTGCATCACTGCGGCACAAGCTATGGACAAAAATAAGCAGTGATCCCAATCAGTAGGAACAATGGAAAAGTGTACCCCAATGGAGTACATACAATTTCCAAATCCTGTTAATTTTTCATTTATGGCAGATCCGAATCAGCTGCTTCTAACCGCACTGGAAAGACCTACACAACACAGCCAGAAACTGTATTTCTCTTCATTTCATTAAATATTTACCACTGAAAAATGTTTCAATAAAAATTACAGATCTTAATGACATCCACAATTTGTGTGAAGCGTGTATTTTTGTACCATGAAACAGTTTTGAAAAAACAAAAAGAAATCTGGCTTGTAAACATCATGAAGAGGTCATAATGGAACAACAGAAACCAAAATTAAATTCACCCATGAATATTCAAGGTAAACAAAGTTTAAGTAAAATTCATTAAGTAGTTTTACCTTCCAATTTATTGTTTATTGTATACACCTCATGCATAGATCATATAACAAAGCATAACCTCATCAATGTATTAACATTAACAACATTCCTCTACACATGCTGTTTCTAATCTGTTATAAGGCACTAATTCTTCCTACATTTAACTGCCAGATCAAATTTTCTCTGAAGAGTAGTAAATACGAATGGGATCATGTGGGTTGAAGGCTCATGACTGTAATAAAAACAATAATAATAATAATAAAAAAAAAAACAAACAAACAAAACAGGTTGTTTTACTAATGAATGAGTCCTGGAATGGTGATTACAGTCCTATGTATGGGAAACATAAATCCTTGGTCCAACAGCTGATTATCCCAAATCATGATTTTCCTGAATATCCCCCAGGATAATGCTGTGATATTTCCAAAGGCATCATGACCACTTTCTTGCCAACCAATTACAATCATCCTGTCATGAAATTATAAAACCTACATAGTTCTGAACATGTTCCAAGTATTCTCATGGCTTCCTTGATACCCACAAACAACTTCAACCAAGAAGATGGATACAAATCGAGTGCAGTCCACTTCAACCTCTTTATCTACAACTCTTCTTCCTTTCCATTGGACAGTATGACTCTGTGATCAATTCCATGCCTACTCCAAAACCTAATATTGGCCTATTTCCTCCTCCTATCTCAAGGTACACTCGAAAGATACAGATCTGACTCACAACATGGCAAAACCCGAAACCTGAAACTGCACTCATAAAGAGGACAAGACATTCATATTCTCTTACAATTTAGTCCCCTAACCTCAATGTATCTCCCACTGATATACCAGCATGGGAAAGTGGACAACAACATTTCTAGAAACACTTTCAACTTCAGTCAGATATTCTAAAGGTAAGATAAAAGTGGACAGATGACTGCATGTTAGAAAGTGGCATAAAATTCGACATCCATTCATTATTGTTTTAATCTCCAAACTGTGAAGGCCAAATTAAGCTTCTGGTTTAGTTAAGATACAAATGCAACATCTGCAAAAACAAAGATTAAAAGCCTGAGTGGGTATTTGCTTCCTCCATCTTGAGTTCTGAGTCCAATGATTGTGGGATTTCTTTACCTCCATCATACAGCAATGATTCGCTTAACCAACAGGGAATTGCCTGATTAGATTCATCAATTATCATACATGTTTATGAAAATCTGTAACTCTCTAACAACGTTTCGATTCAAGCCAGTGCCTATACAGTCATCAGGCCAACCACCGATGCCAGAGTGGCAAATGCAAATGCTGCAAGCATACACAACAGCCTAATGTACGCGACAATCATAAAACTACACATGGAGGCTGACATATAATAGAAAAGGCCATTTCTTGAACTCAAATTAATTTCAAACTATTCTACAGGGAATTTTAACAAACAAAGAGATCCAATTCTTTATTCATACATACTTTATTTAGTTGATTCAGTCAGTGTAGATGATTGGAAGGTGGTTGACAGGGACATATAGTTACATGTGATATCAACTGTGTGTACAAGACAAAGAAAACTGCTGGAAGCAAGCAACGAGGTTGGGACCAGGACACAATGTGCTTAATTCCACTCCTAGCACAGCCAATATATACTTCAACATCTTCACAGATCATGCTATTTTAGTCTGTTCTGGCTTAAAATTAAGGACCTTTGAGGGCCTTGCAACTGCAGACAACATATTAAGTCTCACATATGATATGATCTGGTGGACTAAATATATTGCACATGAGCCCACAGATAGCATCGAACCCAGTTCTTGAAGACTTCATAATACCAGAACACCTCCACTCCAATAATTATAATTGAAGGATCGCCCACATGTATGGAGATGGCTCTACAATTGCCATATGTATCATAAACATTTTTGCAGAAAAAGCAAATTCTGGAGGGAAAACTCTAAGATATAAAGCATTTCACTTGTGCTATACTTGGGAATCACGGGAGTGGCTGTAAAAATTGCCCAATGTCAACAAAATTCTTAGCTGAAATATGGATAAATCTATACTGATTTTATTTTTGTGATAATATACCCTAGATCTATACTCTCTGCTCAGTCTATCTAAAGTGTATTTTTTTATGTTCCTCTCTTGTCCGCAGGGTTTCTGAAACAAAATTTTCTATGTATTTCTAGTTTTCTTTTTGTACTGCAAGCTGTCATGGAGTATTTTTACTTATATCATTCAATGCACAGTACCCTTCTTCAACGCCCCCCCCTTAAAAAAAAACTTCAAATACTGCTAATGTGCAAAGTGAAATACACTGCATACTCAACATTCTACAAGTTATAAAAATGCGACAAAATACTCACACCACAGCACTGCTGACAGGGGTTACTCCATTCCCCTTTCAAAGACTTTACTATAAAATAGTGCAGAATTTAATCACCCATGATTCAACCCCAGACGTGGCACACCTATAAGTTCCCGACAAATAAATTACACTATCATATGTGACAACTTCATGCAAAGCCAGAATAGTGAAGCCAGAGGAGATGGCCATTGCTACACAATGGCTCTGTAAACACATTTTCACAGCAATCAAATCATGCAACAGCAGTTAACAGGTTGTTGCGAGAGTCACCCTCCCTGATGGAGGAATCCCCATTGCTGGAAGTCATTAAGTAGCAATACCTTGCAAAGACAGCATCAAAGCAATGTCCAGTGAACCCATGGATAGGTGAGAACAGCAACGTGTATACTAGAGATTTGTGAAGTGCAGTCATGAGTTGTGTAAGAGTTCAATAAATCCATTTACCAACCCAAACCCCTTCCACAGTCACTTAAATATGATATTTTGTACCACACAAACAGGCATGATTCTTAATAACTTAAAAAACTAGTCATATATGCGTACTGTCACATAGTATGTGTGTGACTATAGACAGGCTTTGGATTGGTGAATGGATTTATTGACCACTTATACACACAAGACTTAGAAGTACATGCAATTACAGCACTACTGCTAATCTCCACAATTCACAAATCACCACAGCATCCACTAAGCCTTTTCCAGCCTGCTGTGTCTTCACCAGCCATTGCCTGGCAATGGCTTCTAATAGTGGATATTCTTCAGCTTCATGTGCTCCTTTCTTCACAGACTCCTGTACAGAACCCACTCTCAACTGACATTTTATAGCGGATTCTACACAAAAATTGTGCGTGAATTTCACTTCGATCTCAGGTTCATTATAAACCTACTTTATATGAAGCTCACATCAAATATCTCAAAAACAATTTATCACTGAAATATGGGAACATGAAATCAAAACCTTTTTGCATCTGCATGTAATTAATAAAATACACGCGAGAACTTGCACCTCATGGCAACTAGTTTTATTTAATGATGCTGGCAGAAATGGTTACAAACCTATTTACTACAAGCAAACATCAAAATGGATGAGCAATACAAAATGGCAAATCATTTGCACACTAGGAGTATATACACCTTGGTTAATTCTGTGCTGTATCACACTTTATGCTATGCATGTTAATGGGACCCCAAATAGGATGAATGCCAAGAGAAGAAAAAGAGAAAGGCCAGTATAAGAAATGAGGAAACACTGAAGGATAAAGAGCACCCCCCCCCATGCAACTCCATAAATACACCTTAATTCAAAACAGCCAATTCAAGTATGCATAAAACTGTACACAATTCAGATATGAATAATCAAAGTACTTTATTAACATTAAACATCTAAAAGACTTGAACATTTTCACCTGGAACTCTGAAATTATTACTAATATTTCCTCATCCACTCAAAACAACCTCAGTTTGAAGAACCTTCAAAACACATCCCTCACGTAAGCGTCAAAATGTTCAACAGAGAGAGAATGTATTGTATTTATTCTAACATGTTCTTCTTTCGGCTTTCCACAAAAATCTAATTGGGGGGGGGGGGAAATGGGGGGGTTTACTCCATATAGTAGTGGCCAAAGCGTGAAGATGAGCACTTGCCTCCATCTCAAGCCAAAGTTAAGAATGTGTAGAGCTATACCTCCACGCCCCCATACATCTTAGAGTCGTGCTTAATTACGTACAAAAACACTTCTGACACCGCTCAAAATTCCAGTACTTTTATTTCCTGACCAAGCTTGTCTACACACGAGTGGCAAACATTAACATACATGTTAAACCACATGCTACTACTGTCAACCACGTCCAATCACCTATGCAACTGATAACCTGATTAGCGCTCTCTCACCTTCATCACTATTTCTATCCCTGAGCACTGGTCGTGTTTCCCTTGGGATAGAACAGACTAATGCAGCAATCAAATGGTTCCGTCTAGCCCTTGGCCCCAACGCTCGCAATCGCTTGCATTCCGCTGCAGCAGCAAAGCAATTACTGTCCAACACGAGGAAGCAGAACTCATCACGTACCCTAGAGGGTACTGTAGTCAGCAGAAACAAATACTGTATCTTTCACATTAACACTGTTTAACCCTTTCACTGTATGTCAGGTTACTTCACTCCAGCTGTCAAAATTATAACACAATTACACCTGGGTGCTACATTACCTGTCTGCCTACAAGAGGTAACTACTTTGCAGCATTACAAACTAGAAAGCCCAATTTCTTTGAACAAACGGAACGTGGAATCTCCAAGTTAGATTTCACTCAAAGTTCCAGTGTTCATGTACTATGTTTACTAGAGCATGATAGAGATCTTGTGAAACACTGTGCTCTGAGTAAGGAAACCTGCAATCCTCTCCTAGCATTCAGAGAAGTGAAGAAACTTTGCTCCATCTTATGGGATGACACCATATAGTCTGATGTTTACTGATGTTTCACACAAACATACTGCATCAATCTTCAGAGTACAAAAGGTGTGAAAAGGAAACTATCCTATCCTGGAGATGGTATCAATGGTTTCTCCAAAACACAACATCGAACTATCAGACTATACAATATCACATTCAAGTAGACACCAATCTTCATTTTAATTTGCTTTTTCAATTTTAGCTCAATTTTTTTGCATGTTACTCATATAATGCATAGCATGGGCAATTTTATTCAGTTATGAACTATTAAAAGAGACAAGCAAAACTTCAAAACCTGGAACACCATAAAAACGAATCTCCTGTGATTCCATGCGCTAGTGTGACAGCCACAAATGCAATAAGCCACCTTCTTACTATGAATGTTATGTCTTTCATCTTTGCTGAAAGGGATAAGACAATTCCTGGCTTATAGCACTGTGAGATGTCAGGCTTCCAATGATTCAGAGTAAACATTACTATGCACCTTCTGGGCAGAGATTAAAGAGCACACCTGGTCCCCACATTTATTGGATCACATAATGAAGCTACAAAGTATTTTACATGGCCCCTATCATCCAGCAGTACAACTGAGATTAATGTGTGAACGACAAACAGCCCTAGTTCCTATTGGTTTGCTCACAGTTCTGGTCCCAGCTCTCCTATCTCTATATCTATACCATTCTTCCTGCATGTTTTATTGTTCTACCCTGAAGATGGAGACAGTGTTCTTCCAAAATATTGATCCTAACCTATAAAACTACACAGTGTCAGTGGAACTTTGAATTAAAACTCTGTTCAGTTTGAATTGGGTGGAAAGTGTGGTGTAATAGGTATTAGCTGAAAAGTATCAATCACACTGCAAAAACAAAATCAAGGATTTTATTTCATTTGCTGCATGTCTCTATACTGTAAACATTACATCACTGTCCAAATCCTACAGTCCAGTGACTGTCACTTAGTTCTATATAAATATAAAAGGTAACTCAGGGGATGGTCAAAAATATGGAAACACCTCGTGAAATGCATGCCTGAATTGAAGTGTTTATTTTAGCGACGTTTGTAGGTCACACTGTCATATCTGCCCAACACCACTACCTGTACAACCTCTGCAATACGTTGCAAGCTTCATTTGTTGTCAAGACAGTGTTCTGTGCAATATTTTGTGCATCACGTCAGAGCTAACAGAATTCGAACGCGGGCAAATTGATGGGGCCCATATGGTGGGTGCTTCCTTAACTAAGGTAGCCGAGGTTTTTGGTGTTTGCGAGGCACAGTATCCAAGATTATGACCGCATACAGGAGGACTGAAAAACTGCATCCGATAAACACCAGCGTTGACGGAAATGTGTGCTGAGCGATCGAGACAGACGAACATTGCGTAGGATTGTGACAAAAAATTAGAAGACTACAGCTGCAAAAGTGACTGCTGAACTGAATGTCATGCTCACAAACCCTGTCAGCACCAAAACAGTACGAAGGGAACTCCACAAGCAGGGTATTTCTGTACGAGCTGCAATTTCAAAGCCACTCATCAGTGATCAAAATGCCACTAAGAGGACAGTGTGGTGCTAAAGTCATAAAACATGGACTATGGAGCAATGGAAGATGGTCATTTGGTTGGATGAGTGCACCTTCACACTGTTTCCGACTTCTGGCCGAGTTTACGTCTGGAGAACGCCATCCCAAGCCTACGATCCAGATTGTTTGCTGCCAAGAGTGAAACATGGCAGGGGTCCGATCATGGTATGGGCAGCCATATTGTGGTATTCTGTTGGACATCATTACCCTGCAAGGTCACGTCACTGCCAACGACTATGTGACCATTTTGGGCGACCAGGTCCATCCCATGGTGCAAACTTTGTTCCCCAATGGTGATGCCATTTACCAAGCCAACAATGCCTGTGTTCACATAGCTCACGTCCAGGACTGGTTTTCTGAGAACGAAGATGGAGTGTCACATCTGCCATGGCCCCGACAATCACCAGATATCAATATTATTGAGCCTTTGTGGTCTGTTTTGGAGAGCAATCTGTGTGCGCGCTATCCACCTCCATCATCGTTAACAGAACTTACCATGTTTTTCAGGAAGAATGGTATAAGATTCTCTTGAAAATCATACAGGACCTCTATTTATCAATTCCAAGGAGACTGCAAGCAGTTCTGCAAGCCAGAGGTTGTCCTACACCATATTAGTCATGGTAATGTGTTTTTTGTTGGGTGTTTCCATATTTTCCCCATTCCCTGTATAAGTGTCTGAGTATCATGCCTTAGAACTATATCAGAGGAATGTAGGTAAGTTCCACTGATTCTTACTCCTTCCATGTTATATCACATATACATCCTCTGACCGGTCATGTTAGGTGAGATTAGATTACATTAAAGTAGGTTATGTCATAGACATGCATGTCCTTTGATTTTACTTTATTCTAAATTATTCACAGAAAACTCAGCATGGAAAGGATTAACTTCAGCACTTGCTGGAGGTGAGTGGCTGGTTTCACATTCCTGCTAGAGAAATCTCAAATTTTGTAAGTTGTTAAACAAATAGAACCAACTCCATGATTCAGGTATACAGTTCCCTTACATTTAAATATGGATGAAACAAGTGAACTTTAACATCATTTCACAAAAAGTTTAAATAATTATGGTTTTCCCAAAATAAATTTACTGTATTTTACATGTTCAGATTATGGTGTCTTTATAAGAATGGAAGAAATAAAACCAATACATTTTTAAAGAACAAATTAAAAGAATCAAATATTCTGCACACGACACCAAAACAAAATGTTTAAAATTGTCCTTCCAGTTCAAGGAACACAACTCAGTGTGTACGAAGTGAACTGCAATTTACAGTAACTAGAACCAAGAACACAGCAGTGAAAGGGTTAACCATATGATTCGAGATAAAGGAAATGTTTCTACTCAGTTTTTGGTACCTTGCTGAAATAAAATATGCAATCAAGAAAAAACAAAAACTGTACAACAGCCCCCAAATTAAAAGGAAAAACCTACAACACTTCAAAACTACTAACAAATTTTATGGCTTTACATTTCAATAAAGGTAACACAACACATTGCTGTCTCAGCAAACGAAAAGGGTACCCTAGTTATGTTTCGAGCCTCCATAGGGATATCCGTCTGACATTCACTGTAATTAATGATCAGCAAATGACACGACAGCTCGTTGACTGCAAATCCAAATAGGCAATCAGTTCGCAAGGTTTACAACCAACTTCTAAGAGAAGACAAGAGAAGCTGCTATCAAACAAATGAAAAGAGATACTGAAAAAGTTGACAACAAAACAAAAACTTCCCATGACCAACCCTTTCAACACTACTTTTGGATGAAATTCGGCTGTGCATATCAAGCTGTAATAGGAGAGATGAATCTTAGGTCCAAATCTATCTTGCTTTGAAGTGGATAAAAATAAGTGATCTGTAAAGGCACAGATCAAAGTACTACATATGAAATCCTAATAGCAGCAAACAAAGGAGTACAAAATATTAAACGCGTCACACTTACGCCTTGAACAGTGTAACTTCTGTACCTATTACTGGACCTGTAACTACACAACTAATGCTGTTATACTTTTATTTCTGCAAATTTTTGTGTTTTGGTTTTCGTGGGTAATTTGTAATGAAATTAATATTGGCACTGTGATGTAGCAGTTGGCATACCTGCTCATTCTGGGCTATTTTACAGCATTCTCAGTATCTAGACAACACAGCACTGAATGATAGCAGAGGAGATAAATGATGAATTCAGAAGAATTTAGATGTGGTCATGGTCTAATGTATGTACTATCCCAGCATTTCCCTGGAGGGACTGAGGAAAACAACAAAATGCCAAGATAGCTGGTGTCCTGGCTGAGATCTGGAACACCTCTTGAACGCAAGTCGTACACCAACTTGCTAAGCAGTTTGCATTTTAAATTAATGTACCTGTATATTCTCTTACTTATGAATATATCTGAGCAGCAGTTGTTTGGTGACATGTCTAATAATAAGTACGGAAAAGAACCACATGATTCTCTCTCACACACACGTACACATATGCAACTGCCATGTTGATTAAAGCAAAACATTTTATACTTGAGATCTTTACCCGCTTCAAGTAATCCATTTTTCATCTCATTTCAGTATCATAATATTTCTATATAAGAACCCTCCACCACTGCGCATTCACAGCATATCAATTCTAGACAATGCTAATGGAGTTACTGAAAATATGGACTAGAACTATTCCAGCTACTGTGTTTACTTACTGCCAATGATACGTTGCATCCTCACAGAAGAATAAACAAAAGAATCATTGGTGGAAGATTTTGTCATGCAATAAAGGATTACAAATGCGTGAAATAAGTTAGGACGGTCAAATAACTTCCTAACGGGTGAAAACACAGCTGTGAACTAAGGAGAATTACGGTGATTAAAGTAAAACATCATTGTTGCACTCATGCACCACACCATAAAGAAGTATGGGGGAACAGAGGTAAAGCTCCAGTCTTAACCCTGGCACTTGATATATAAGTGGGCAATTTCATGCTTCCCACGGAGAAGAGTTTCTCTTATGCATTGGCGAGGAGGCTGGGGGGATGCCAGAGCCAGTTTCAGCACACTGGCAAAATGAAAAATCCTTGATCCTGCCAAGAACTGAGCCTTTCTTATCCAGTACCTAACAGGTCACAGGTGGTTCTGTTTGGTGCATGAATGGAAGGTGACAGAATACAAAGACACCAAGACATGGAAATACAGTACACAGAACATGATAAAGATTACTGTTTTCCAGCATGTGATGCTGTGTAGTCTGGCAAAATGTTAATAATGTTAGAGAGGAGCCTGCTGCATCCTACCGAACTACACGGTGTCCTTTCCTAAAAGATAATACTAATATGCAAATGCACAGTATGCTGAAACAAGATCTACACTTGGCAACAGCAAAACTATCAAAATCAAGCACTTCAAGAATACTATGGCATAGACACAGCCCACTGAGCAAAGAATGTGAAACAAACGATGAGAGAACAAATGGTGCTATTCAATGGCACGGTAAACACGCTTCTATGGTCATCTTCAGGCAAGCCCCGATCCATACTCCCCTTCCAGTATGTTTTTCTTCCCATATAACTTACACTTCTACCCCAGGCCATGCTATAGCTCGAACGGTCAGTCGTTGGCTCCCCACCGCAGCGGCCTGGGTTCAATCCCGGGTCTGGTCAAGTGGGATTTGTGGTGGACTAAGTGGCACTGGGGCAGTTTTTCTCCAAGTACTTCAGTTTCCCCTGCCAATCTTCATTCCACAAATTGCTCCACCATCACCCTCACCTATCATTTGGGGCTGGTACAATGGGCCAGAAGGGGCCGCAGCACAAGGGACTTAGTCCCACTCCACTAGCAATAAAAAAAATACACTTCTACCCTGAAGATAGAGGCTGCAATTCCTCTGAAAGCTTGCCTTTCATTTACCAAAGTACACAGAGTCTACCACCTGACTAATCTTGAAACTCAGCGCCATCAGAACCTCAAATCAGAACTCCATCTATTGCACCAAATCTGATGAGATGGTTCTACGATTAACAATGCCAGTTACGTACATAAAAACAGCAATAACTGTTTAAGGCTGAAAATTGTTCTTTACAGAAACTAAAAATATCAATTAGATGCGTAAGTTGCCATTGAAAGCCGTTAAAGTACGGTGTTCTGGAATACAAATAGGGCAATAAACAATGCTAAAGTCTGGGCTGAACTAGGTAACAGCAGTTTGAAAAACATTGTGCTGTTGTAAATGCCTCTATTGTTGACATGGGATTCCATATCAATATCCTTTACTCAAACATATGCAGAAACCTTCATGCAATTTTTTACAGAATCAACAATAAAAAATAAATATCTTCTACTCTCATTTTTTTTCTAGAACTTCAGGTAACTGCATATTAGTCTCAAGAAAATTTCTGTATAAGAGCTGATTTGTTTGTAACCATCAATTATAACAGAAATAGCATAAAAGATACAAAGACCCTGTCTTATTGACACCAGGAATGTAATAGAAAAATTATGAAACTTGAGTGGCATGATTACAACACTCATAAGACAGTATTTTATCCAATATTTACACCATTACACTTCTGAAAGTAGTAGTGACAATTCCAAAAACATGCAGACACAACTGTGTTAGAAGTGTCACCTCCAGAAAGTTAGTCAAGTTTCAATGGACTGCATGGCATTATACCCCAGAAGACAGAAACCTTCAGCTGGGTCAATGTCCATCAAATCACGTTAATTCCATATAATGGAATGCATTTAACAGTCATACCACATATAGATATAGGAGAGTATGTTACCATTCCCTTTCTTCTAAAGCCTTTCCACCTAATCTACAAATACTGAACGAAGCTTTATAGACTTCAACATGGAAAAGACACACAGTCAAGGCTATGAATATAATGCATTTCACACAATTGCTATCTAGCTCCCATGCAACATGCCACAAATCCATACAACAGACTAACACATTCACTGAACATAGTGCAGGACAACATGTGTTCAGTTACTCCAGCAAAAGTACTAGTATTACCCAATATTTCTATACATTCACTCATTATATGGCTCATGAATGCAGCAACATTCTGAGAATTTAAAAGAGCCAACTATCAATCTTCACTTAACACAAGCATCACATTTTTGAGACAAATTGAAATCTCTTGAAGAATATCAGAGTTACAAACTGCTGCTTCAATAAATAACCATGGCTTTCTTTTTATAAAGACATGGAATCATAAAGGAATATAAGTGAATAATGAACCTAGTAATGAACAAATTGCGTTTCAATGACTTCACATTATTACACTTAAAAAAGTTACCTTAGTAAGGCAATACAGCCTAACAGTAATGGTAATGAACATGTTGGGAGGCATCACACACCATGCCATTGTCTAAATAGTGAGTCTCTTACCTAAAAATATTCTCTCATCAAAATCTCCTTCGCTCAAAACATATTCCTCATACGCCTTGCTGACAGCATTGTAACTGTAGTCGAAGCAGCCCTGGTCCAAGATGCCACATAATTTGGAAGCATTACCCTTCAAAACCTGCATAAAAATGGGTTATATGGAACATACTAAAAGCTGGAAATGTACCTGCTTATGAACATGACTGTATCCTTGCAACAAATATGCACTTATGAGCAAATGAAAATGACAGTAATATACTACATGCAAAAAAGATGCTCTGGTTTTAACTAGGCTTTCCTTCATTGTATTACATACACGAAGCACTACTTCTCTGGTGAAGCAAATAAATCAATGTAAAAAAGCACAATCTTTGGATTGTCATATTATGAAACAGAACAAGTCTGCTATCAATACTTACTGAAACCATGATCACTGAAGGAAAATATATGTATGACACTGCTGTATATTTCACTCACTTTCTTGCCAATATGCAATGTTCTCAGGAATCAGATGCCTCTGGACTATATCTGATAATAATTACTCAACATTTAAACCTCAGCCTCTACAATATAGCAATACGCACCAACTTTATGAATCACAGAACATTAAGCTGCAATATAAATATACTTACACCTGTGTCAAATAGTCTCCTAATGTGAATCTTCCAAGTATACTCTTTAATGCCCTTTGCCTCTACTGCTGCTCCTCCATACTTCTCACAAAGGTGGTGTATGATACAGGGTGCCTCAGAAGGAGGAACGTAGTCTTGGTCCCGGAAGTTTGAGGGAAGCCCTACAAAGATTAAGGACACAACAATGTATCAAAACACCACTGAAAACATGGAGCACTCTGGAATACAATGTACATGTATGTACATGTTCTGATGCGTGCAAATTATGAAGCTCCTGAAACACAACTTTCTGCAACCTTCTCTTACTTCTTCTCAGAACCAAACATTCCAGTCCACACCATGTTCTCAAACACCCTCATTACTCCATATTGCATTATCTCCACTTTCAGAAAATGAAAGAAAAACATATACATAACCACTTTTGGAAAATAAATTTGGTCTTAATCAGGCAAGTGTGTGCTACAGAAACTCCATACCTGGGTCTATGTGTGGGATGGTCTTCATGAAACTTTCACCAGAAGTCTGATCACACCAAGAATGGTATGGAAGCGGTCTTCGCTTCAAGCAATAGGTTTCATGTAGTATACTAACATTTTTTAATATTTTAATTTTAATACATAAATTTTATTATAGTACATGATGAATATACATTTTAAATCATTTTATAAATGATACATGATGGCGAGCAGTGCAATAATTTAATGTAAATAACACACCTGAGGAAGGCACAGTGATGCCGAAACATGCAGTGAAGTGACAAGTGAGATTGTGTGCACCAGAAGACGGTCAATACATACACATCATAGTATACTAAAGCTTGAAATGTTGCATAAAAGAACTATGATATGTGCTTGACACATTGAAGATTATGTCCAATTCCTCTTACCAGGAAAATCTGGGTTAAGGATGTCCTGTCGATTAGCAAGGAGAGCATTGGCAAACATCAGGTCACAGCAAGCCAGCAGCAGGTGATACGAGCTGACTAGATCATTACTGACATCAGGAAACTTGCCCTTCACGCACACAAACAACGTCCAGCAGAAGTCGAACACTTTGGCTGAAGTACAGAGCACATTTCTGCTAACAGAAATGTTCACATTCTGATCAGCACTATGAAAGCTGGGAAAACAGGAAGAATGCTTATATAAAGAGAACGGTCTGTAAAAGCAAGATAAAGTTGTGCATGTGCTTAATTAATTAAGTCCCAAGCCATGAAGACATATGTAGAGCAGGGGTGGAAGTATAGTTCCGCTACTCTTGGCATCAGCATTATGTGGAGGTGAGTGGTCAGCTTTGAACCCCAGCCACTTTACCCTTTGGGAAAGAACCTCTGGTAGTCACTGGATAGGAGGCTGGGTGGGCTCCAGAGCCACTCTGGACACTGTGAAGAACACAAAAACCTTTCCCTTGCTGGGAACTGAACCCTGACCCTCCAGCCCAAAGCCCCTCATTATACAGACTCACACAAACAGCTGGTACATACTATGGCCCACCAACTGGTTCCAACACAGGTCTGATTTTTCATCCCCAAAGGAGTCAACTTCCAAAACATTTTTCTTTACAAAAAAAGAGAAAAATGTCCAACTACTGGATACTGACCGCTGTTTCTTGGATCGTGATTGACGCTGCTGGTCATCAACAGGGTTGCGAAACATATCAACAAATATTGGCTGATACTTTTTGAATGTGATATTCGAAACAGCAAAATTTCGCTCCAGCCTCTCAATTTTTCTGCGGAACTCTGGTGGCATATTTGCCATATCCGCCCAATTCTTGCTCTTGCTGAAGAACTGCATCAAGCTAGAACACAATTCCTAGTATTATAAACACTGTTTACTTGATAAACTTCTGGGCATAAGTGTATATAACAGTAGCTAACTTAACTAGACAAGGAATTTGCAGAATTTTATGGTATGTGAAGTTTTACAACAATGTTCACTAAAACCACCTACCGGATCCTCCTCGACATCAGAAAAATCCAGTATACATTTCCATACACTACTTTTCCTACCACTTGCGACCTTGGTTCCCAAAGTGTCTGTTCCCTTTAGGTTTTTCTAATACAAATTGTTTGAATTTTTCATCTTTCTCATGTGTGATACCTGCCAGACTCATTTCATCCTCCATGATTTGATTGCCCTAATAACATTTGGTGAAGAGTACATATCCAACAGGTCCTCAATTTTTTCCAGCCTCCTATTAATTCCTCCCTCTTCAGCTCGAATATTTCTTCAGCACCTGTTCTCAGACACCCTCATTCATGCTCCTTATTAGGGTGAAAAACTAACATTTGTATCTGAATGAAACAGGTATAATTAACCACTGTATTTTTTAATATTTACACAAACAAGTAAATATCTGGTACCCTCATCTTGTTGATCAATCATTAACGTCTTGGATGAACTGCTCACAGATTCTTTGTTGTGAATTTACCTTAGATTGCAGAGTCTGAGTAGTCGAGTGAGGCTGACGCAGTTCCCCTCTACCATCCTACCCGACATTGCCACTGTCGGTGTGGATGATCTGCGGCATGCCACATACAGAGCACAGCCCAGCCAGTGCAGCTGGTCACCCTGCAACATTTATCAACAAATGGTTTGCAATCAACCCTAAAACTTTAGAGGAACCCTGTGTGACAAAATAAAGAAGTATGCATTTCAAACCTAACAAAGCTGACTGTTTTGCTGAGATAAGCACAGTAGAGAAGTGATTCTGTGCTGTGTAAGAAGAGGATACATTCAACATTTATTGTAAATATGAACACTGCAGTGTTATAGAGGGGGGCTTAATCAAAATAGGTGAACAAAAGAACCACCGTGTATCGCAAGGGTAGCATTTCTGAACAGCCTTTATGGGCAATGGCTAGCTGATGATTGGGTAGCTGTGAAAGGCAATATGGCTCTGATTTCTGTAACAGGGCAACTCAGTGCCATTGGAAAGAATAAACCTAGCATCTACCAGCACAAAGCAGGACTGCATCTAAATTCAATTGGATTAATGACAGGTCACATACTACCAAATGGAATGTTTCATGCCTTCGCATATGAAAGGGAATAAGACTTTATGGACAGTCCAGTCTGAGCATTCAATTGCAGGGCTACTGACCCACAAAAATTCAGAATCAGACCATACTTTATGTACGGCCAGAGGTTCGGATGGTAGTGGGTATAAAGATTATGGACTTTTGGGAACAACACCATGTGGTTTCGTAGATACATACCAACATTTCAGGGGAACTGCTACTGCCATCTGCAGCACAGAACTTCTATCTTCTTGGCAGAGGCATGTTCCTCAAATATATGGTACCTATCTATCAAACTATATGGCACCATATCCCAGATAACTGCACCCTTTACTTCTCTTCATGCCATACCGATGTGGCATGACTATTCTGAAGGCATGTAATGCACCATTCACTGCCCACTTCAGGGAAACTTGTATTCCACATGATATATTCAAAAGATGTGTCACCAATATGGAGACTAAAGGCAGATTAACTATGTGATTATGTCTCTTCCTGTCTGCAAACAACAAAGCTCCGTGCTACAATAAAGACTTTTCTACAATCATTGTGATTCTAGTTTTCGGTCACTGCAACATTCCTCTTGTTGCTATGAGCATTATTGTACGGTTTCTAGTATATACCTTCACCTTTCAGATTCCTGCCCAAGTCCCAACTTTTTCTCCCTAACTGGCTAGGGCTGTAAAGGTTGCCCACTGCATTAGTTGCTCTTAAAATACAGACCACACTTCCTATGGGTGTCCCTATCACCTACCATGTATTCCACTTCTCCAATGTCCAAATTCCAGAAGCTGGATAAAAACTTTAGTATACATACTAAACATACCAGTTAGTAAAAAGGCCTTCAATACTTGTATCATATTACATTTTGATGCTGGAAGAAATAAAAAGTGTAATCCCTCTCTAGGCAGGCCATCTATAAGCATTCCAGCTCTTATTTGAGGACACATATTGACATTCTGGCATGTGGAGTGGTTACCCTTATCATGGTAACAAAATGTTTGAATATGAGGAATTAATTATGTAGCCCAACACATCACACACATAAAAGCTGTCCTCAGATGAACTTAAAATTACTAGCAAACACAGACTAGGTCAAAACTAGACTAATTTGAACTAATCGCACCTGAAATTAAAAACAAATAAATGTAAAGAAACCAGACTGCTGCATTAAGCGTCTACTCTGTTTCTATGAATACTGCAATGAGATACAAGGCTTCATGTGACAAGGGCCAAGTGACACTACAGCCTCATGCCAAGAAATAAAAAAAATCAAAAGGGTTCAGTGCATGCATCTGTAATTGCACCTTCAAGTTAACCTTCAATCAGTCTCATCTTATGTTACCCAAGATTTAAATACAGAATGATGGGCACAATGGTTGGTTAGTATTCATATTTTTGTTCATTCAACAGTATGCGATACTTCTTTACTAAGGTTTGTGTTTTACAATAATATTATGAGGCTCATGAAGTATACCGTGCATGGGGACAATTTGAGACGAAAACTGATAAGAAATGTGCTGATGGCATCTGTGACCCACTTAGATATACTACTAGGTCAACACTTCTAAAGGTGGAAAGAAATCTGAAAGGAACCAAGAGAAAAGCATCCATTTTTAGAAATATAAATAGAAGATAATCCTACTTTCTACACTATGCAGTCTCAACACAATGATACGAATATATAGGTTGGCACAAACACTTTGGAGTAACCTGCACCCTCCTGAAGAGAAAGACAGTACATAGCTCCAAAATATTACCCACCCTTACACATATTCAGTTATTTTGGTTACATGCATGAGGGGTGAATGAGAGATAAAGCTAGCAGAACAGTTCTTGTCCTGTCAGCCTCCCTCACTCCTCCACTTGTGTCTCTTCAGCATCTTGTTTCTGCATGCCGAAGGGCCATGGATCTCATAAATTTAATTTAATATACCAAACTACACAATTATCAGTCATCACCCAGGAGAACAGTATTGGAAGGATATAACCAAATGCCATATCAAACAGTTCTGCAATGATGTAAGTGTATCATAAACTACACAGTGAAGTTTTGTTACCCTACTTAAAATTGAAGGCTCTCAGTTACTAAGTGGGAATGAAAAGTGATATTTCAATTTCTCACAGCCATGACTATGAAATTTTACAGATGCTTCCTGCATCTCAACTAGGGATATTTACAGCACAGCAAACAATAAATATAAAATGCTGAAACATCTGATTTAACACAATCGTAAGAGGGGTGAAAACATGTCACTATCCCATCCGAGAAAAGGGTCAAACACATACATTACGAAATTATAGAGAATAATCAAACTATTTCTACATGACGTTAAACGTAATATTCTCCCTTCAACACAAACGACAGATATCACATTCAAAACGAAGGGTGCGATATGTTCATTCTGCCCACTGAATGTAAATCCTTTAAATATCACGAACATTAAACCAAATTCTGATTATGAATTTTCTACATTACTTAGTAAAAAACATTCATCCCCTTAATCTTTCACAACAGAAAAATAATTTTTATTACGTGTAACGCAAAGGTATGAATAATTTCACTTAATTCGATCGACTGCACAAACATTCCATTTCTACGTTACTGGCAATTCTCCGTCACAGTGAGCTACGGACTATTCTTTATGTTAGCAATAAACTTCATAATTACAAATGGATAATTATATTTGTTCTATATTACAAAATAATAAAATCTGCTGCGTTAGACGTACTACTTATACTTACCTCCAAGGTATAATTTTGTCGTATCGTTTCATAATTTCTCCATGCTTCCTCAGCTGCGTCTTTATCCATATTTAAATTTACACACAACTCTTGATGTCGTTCAAATACATTTTCGTCTGCATTATCTAGTAACATGATTATGGAAAACTTCAAACCTTAACAAGAACCTCACTCTGCTCCCAACCTACACCAACCAAGCATACACCAGTAAGACCCAAGTGGCGGGAAATAAGGCCTTATCACTACTTTATACGAAATGAAGTCCACTGAAAATATACAACGAAAGGAAAGATATATCCATAATTACTTATGAAAACTGATAACCGACTGATATAATTCGAAAATTTCCTCATATTACTATAAGAACCGACGTAACGCAAATAAACTTAACGAACATAACACTTTCATTCGCGACAAAAAACGCGCCAAACTGAAAGCACTTGTAAATATTCTACTTCATATTAAGTCTTGTCGCGAAGAACTGTTTCTTTTAAAGTCACTTAAGATTTCACAAAACTACACCAAATTTAGCAGAACAACATTTAATTTGCATTAACGAATAATTCCGACTGTATAATTTACGCGCCAAATCACGAACGAACTACTTTTCGCGGGAAGTCAACTCGATTGAGTCAAATGCATACTGATGTAATGTTGGAACTGAGTATGTACTGTGGAATAATACTCTTTCTATACCTCCTAGAAACATACTAAGATTTTATAAAAAAAAAATTATTGTTTGATTTCATCATGAGAATAATTACTTCGAATATAAATATGGTATGGTTGGCTACCATTACAGAGAGAAATTTGATGTTGCCGTTGTTTGGAAACCGAAACAATTGAGGAGCTCATTTCGAAATAAAGGTGATGGAGGTTGTGTGAAATGTGAATTGGATGTGTGATACATACAAGAACAATATTCACGCGTCACGTTTCAAAATGGCCTTAATTATGAGTGTTGCAAATATTTTGAGGGTTTCGTTGGAAACGAAGCACTGTATTAATTTCTTGCACTCTCGAAATATCAGTTGTCTTCACAGAAATTTCAACAAATACCTGCTGAGGGAAGCGCGAGTTATGCACAAAATGTTGGGAAATAAAAGGACAGGGAAGTGTGTACCATGTTTTTATCTTGTACACTGACTTAATTTTGTTTTCAATAGTTCTCTCATTTCATATTTTAACTGATGTGTATGCTTAAAAGAATTCCCACAACCTAAGTAGCTAGATTCAGTGGAATGCATATAATCCAAATGAAAATGCATTATTCAGTGTAAGCTCCATAAGCTGTACTGTTTGTGAAGCATCATTAATAACACATTAAATAGTACATTTTACCAAAATACTTAAAAATTATTTAATGGGTCGTGTCCATGATTATCAGATAGGTTATGTTTGGTTTGGTTTAGTTTAGTGTTTCGTTAAGGGCACAGCAAAATTCTGCAATCGTTTTGGTTAGGTTTTCCCACAAAATATGCTGTGAATACATTTATTGGTCTGACTTACAGTTGTATTTTGCATATTAAAGGACACCATGGTACAAATATGAAGGCACAGGTGACATTCCTCCAGTACCAAAAATGGCTGCTCCCAAACCGGATCACAACTTTCGAAGAACCGCCGTTCTTAACAAACTTTTCATGAGACATATCACAGATATGATGGCGTCAGGTGAAGTTGCAAGCGAAATACTTGGCAGAGGAATAGAAATATCTAGAGTATGAACTGTGACTATATATTGAAGTTATTACGTTATATTGATTCATTTTATAATATGTTTTTGTTTTTAATTGCATTACATTCATTGCTAGGTTAAAGTGGCGCCAGATTTTAACAAAGTGAATGTATTCTGGTTAGCCAGAGGAACAGAAAATGATGAAGATGTAGAGAAAATTCTGAAAAAATCTGCTGGACAGCTGCGCCATGAGCTCTCAGAACTTCGTGTGATGGGCGTTGTGCCATATATAGAATTTGTTAAAGGTATCTAATATCTTGAAATGCAATGTACATAATTAATACAGATTGGTTGCAGTATGTGTAGAAACACTGATTCAATTGATTATAAGACTCAGTTTAATGGTTACAGTGTGTAATCAGTGGGCAGACAGAAATTGGAGTTATCCCAAGGAAACCTGTGTTGAAACTTGTTTTCACCATAACTGTTGTACAAACTGGCATTCTTGAAAATGGATCTCCTTTGTGACAGTCTTCACAAGACCCTAAAGACTAAGAGCATGTCAGAAACAAAGCTTACATTTGACCCACTTTTCAAGTAAACTTTGTTTGTTCTTGTTCTATACAAAACTAGGATGGAAGATGACACAGTCACGTGCTTTTGGTTGAGTTACACTTGCCTAGGGCTGTGCCATAGCTCAAGAGGTTAGTTGCTGGCTTCCCACCGCGGCGGCCCGGTTTCGATCCTGGGTCTGGCCAAGTGGGATTTGTGGTGGACAAAGTGGCACTGGGGCAGCTTTTCTCCAAGTACTTCAGTTTCCCCTGCCAATCTTCATTCCACCAATTGCTCCACAATCACCCTCACCTATCATCTGGGGCTAATACAATAGGCCAGAAGTGGCCGCAGTACAAGGGACTTAGTCCCACCTCACTAGCAATAAAAAAAAAATACACTTGCCTATTTGTATGTCCTCTCAAAAATCTGTCACGGTTTTCATATTCTGATCAAATGCTTATTTTATGGTCAAGAACATTGTACCAGCCACCCGCATGGCACATTTTCACACCCTTGCAGGTGATCATAGTGTGTCTAGCACCTCTGTGGTCTAGTGGTCAGAGTTCCTGCCTACAGATCCAGAGGTCCCGGTTCGATTCCTGCCACTACCAAATTTTCTGAGAAGTAGTGGGTCTGGAATGGGGTCCACTACAGCCTTGTGAGGATAGTTGAGGATCTGTTTCAAGGAAATACGGGCTCCAGTCTAGAAAACAGAAATTAACGGCCATGGGGATTCGTTGCGCTGACCACACAACACCTTCTGTCCGCTAAAGTTGGCACTAACTTCACCGATGAGCAGCGGTCGCTCAGTCAGTGTAGTTCGCTTGCGGACTAGAACCACGGAGTTTGTTTTTTTGTATATGGCTTTTCAAGCCA